TCACATACACATGTATACAGTATCATCAGATCTAAGTAAAAAGAAGTAGGCTGTGGTTATTGCTTCATCAAGTTTTCAATCACTTTAATATTACACTTTACATTTGTTTTAGTCTGTCTTTGGGTATTTACTTTTGCTTGTCTATCTCTACCCACCTGAACAGGTGTGATCTTAAATGAATGCAAAGACACCCAGGTATAAACAGGCATTAACTTCCCTGCAGGTGTGAACATAAATGAACATATTTGTCATCTGTTACATAGGTAACATGCATTTAACTGCTGCACATATTTGTTAATGTTAACATCTGCCTGTGGGAGTCCTGTCTCATAAAAATATACTGCTCATGTGACAAGTCATTTTGGTGAGTTATCTGTTAAATTTTTGCTTTCTTGTTTCTTTCTTGTTGGTCAATGGGTAAATTGTATTCATTTTGAAATTTATTTTACTTGTTATAGGCATTGCCATTCACTTACTTAGGTTTTATGATGTTATTTTTATAAATATAGAGGCTGCACTAATATTGCTGAATGATCAGTGTAGAATTTAAGTTGGATAGACAAAAGATTTGACAAAGCTAATTTTACTCCTACTATTGAGCATTGACCTCTTTATTTAGATCATTGTTTTGAGAATAACAAAAGACATTTTACATTATGTGGAAAAAAGTTTTGTGAAACAACATTTGTAAAGTAAACAAATCAAAGTACTTTCCAATGACAGAATAAAATATGCAGGTTAGTTGACTCCTCCCCCTGTATATAATCCTTTATTTGTAGATATGAAATATTCATTTCCTGTGTGTAGATAATCCTGCTCAAACACAGAGTTCAGTTTATATGATTAATGCACTTGGACAGCTTTTGTATAATCAAGGTCGCATGTGTACTTCCCAGCACTGGCATTCCCCTGAAATGGAGCTAATAGAAATGACTGATTAATTATTATACCTGTGTGAACACAATTTAACATGGACATTATTAAGAAGTTAGCCAAGAGCAATATTTTAATAGTCCAGATTGTCTTCAGCTGAATATGATTAATTGATAATTACATTTCTGTTAGGTGGATTATTTTGTCTTCAGGGAATTAGTGAGAGGCTAAAGTGGAAAGTCTGCAGGTGTGTTGCTTGATTTTGATCAATATTTGGTGTCAATGAAAGGGTGAGAATTTTAGTTTTAAGTGTTTTGTTGCTGTTGTTGAAGTGATATCTGTTTTTAGCTGAACTTACTGAGTGCATTTGTAATGATTTCATTTATTTTTTTATTGACTTAGGTGAGGGGAGGAACCGTAAAGCATGCAGCAGCCATTTTACCGAAATTTGCAAGATAAAAACTTGCAGGAGAGAAACTTACAAGAAAGGAGCTTTCAAGAGAGGAATTTGCAAGACAGAAGTTTCCAAGACAGAAATCTGCAAGAAAGAAGCTTCCAAGACAGAAACTTACAAGACAGAAACTTCCAGGAGAGAAATTTGCAGGAGAGAGGCTTAGGTTTTCAAAACAATGTGCAAGAAAAAAACGACAGAAATGTGCTGGTTGCAGCAACACTCACCAACAATTCATCCCAGCCTGACTTTGACTCTCTTAGAATTGAGTGTTTGCAAAACAGAGTTCTGTACGAAGACCCAGATTTTCCAGCCAATGACAGGTCACTTTACTTCAGCCGCCTTCCGCCTTATGGTATCAAGTGGATGAGACCTCATGTAAGGAGCTCATATTAATTTGTTATAAATCAAAATGTTTTTATTGTAACTGTTTGAAATATTTATTTGTTTGGTAAATAATGACTGCATGAAGTGTCATGACCAAGTTAAGTGAAAGAAATATTTTTTTAGAATTTTGATATGAGTGAGCAAAAATGTTAATTAGCTTGGCAAGCCGAAATACTTTCATACCATTATCTTTGATATGAGTGACCTGACCTTTTTGGAGATAAACTTATTCAAGCCATGTATTTAACTTATTATGAGGAAAATAATTCTGTTTTTCATTCTGTAGGACATAGCTGGTCAGTTTGGCTTGAAACCACAACTGTTTGTGAGTGGAGCTGTAAGATTTGATGTCAGACAGGGAGAGTTAGGTAAGTGCATGGGTACTAGTATTATGAAGGATATAGTTAGGTAAGTGCATGGGTATTATGAAGGATATAGTTAGGTAAGTGCATGGGTATTATGAAGGATATAATTTGCTGATGGGAATTCAGTATGTAATCTGTTGATAAGTTTACAGGTTAATTTTATTGTCATAGTAACACACAGTGACACTGAGGAAAGTCACGGTGTGACAAAACAATTTGTGAGGTACATTTACAGTGTAAGTTTTGTGTAGAGAGGGAAATGTTTTCATGGTTGATAGTTTTTTGACTTAAATTTAAATTTTTCAAAAATTTGCGATTTGGTCTAAAAGTTCAGACATAACTACATGGAGATACAAATCTAGTAAATTATGAATATGGAATATGGCAACTTCTGTACTACTACAACTGCTACTACTACAAGTAATAATAATAATGTTATAAACTTCAAAGCCCCATGTACTGTTATCATGGTGGCTGATTACATCCATGCAGTTGCAAAACGGGGGGTCTTTTTCTGAAAACATAGGCTTTTTGTCAAGAATCCTTGATTTGTAAACCTAGATCAAATTTACCTAGAGTGGACCTTTTCCCAGCAAAAAGGGGGTTTCTTCTGCCCCCACGGCCCTGGTCCCCCTGAACCCAGCTGATTAATGGGCAGTCACTGTGTGCTATATTCCAGGAGATTGTTGGGTAGTGGCAGCCGTAGCCAACATCTCTGAGAATCCAGAACTCTTGTACCGTCTGGTACCCCGGGGACAGGGTTTCCATGACGGCTGGTATGCTGGCGTACTCAAGTTCCAGTTTTGGCAATATGGGAAGTGGACAGAGGTCATAATTGATGACCGCTTGCCCACAAAGAATGGAGAACCGGTGTTTATACATTCAGGACGACCCAATGAATTCTGGGCAGCCCTCGTAGAAAAAGCTTATGCAAAGTAGGTGCTGCTTATATTACTGTAAGTTTTGAATAATATTGTAGTATACAGATATCAGCGTAGATGATGGTAGTGAAACCAATGTCTGTTTGTGTCAGTATAAAATCTAGTATATGAAGTATGGAAATAAGATGCATAAAATATAATAGCAGGTATTTTGTCAGGCAATGCTTAGCTCACACCTTAAATGTGCATGCATTTCCAATTTCTGAATAAATTACAAAATATAATGCTATATTTCGAAGTTTCTTGACTATTATTCTAAAGTATCATGATCATTAATTTTGAAATATCTCATTGCCTCTGATTTTTCACTCCCCACCAAATATTAATCCTCATTGTACCAGAATGAAAATTAGCCACTTTCTATGCTTCCATTCAGACTCCATGGTTCATATGAAGCATTAAAATCAGGTCAGGTGAGAGATGCCTTGACAGACTTTACAGGGGGTCTCACGGAGAGCTACAGGGTGAGAGGAAAGACTGCAGACCTGCCCAGAAATGCCATCAATATTCTGTTTAAGTCTCTAGAGAGACAGTCCTTGGTGGGGTGTGGGATTGATGTGAGTATAGACACAGTAAATTGTTTCATGTTGGGCTGTGTTAATTGGAGAATTATGAAAATTTACTCTGTGGAATATTTTATAATATTCTTATATATATTTCAAATTTCAAAGACAGGTTAAAATACTTGAATTACATTCAGTGTAAGAAAGGATTTTGTAAGAAAAACCATTTTGTTTCTACCAGGGTGTTTCTCTCTAACTGATTATAAAATTCAAGGACATCATAAATCTACCATTGACTAAGTTTCCTAGACAGATTTTAAAATTTGAATAACATTCAATATATTTATAAAATAATGTATAGAATAGTGAATCATTTTGTCACTCCATGTGTGGCAATGATAAGATTCTGACCAGGGATTAATTTTGAATTCAGCCTATAGATGGCACCAGTGGCAGGGTACTTTCTGGAGGTCTGGCAGCAGGCCATGCATACAGTATCACAGACCTGAGAGAGGTAAGGGTCTGGATGTGTTCTTCCAAAATTATAATAGTTATCTCAATATATTAAACACATTTATATTTGTGAATATATGAATGTATTCATGTATGTAGTCTATGTAGAAATATGTCAGAGCTGGACACAACTAAGATTGAGTGTATGTAGATTTAACTGTTTTGTTATGTTTCAGATACGTCTAGTGTCAGACCGAGGAGAGATTCCCATCACGTTGGTACGCATCAGAAATCCCTGGGGGACCAGGGTAGAGTGGAATGGACCCTGGGGAGATAGGTAGACCTAACACACACACACACACACACACACACACACACACACACACACATGCAGCTACACTTTATTGCAGAAGTAATACATTCTTTATTTTGTTTTTAAGATTATGTTGAAACAGACTTCTTTTGTCTTTGAATTCTTTTGTAAAATGTCTCAAATATAACTCACTGTGAACCAAGGCAGTAATTTTTTGGTTTACTCAGTTATCATAACTGAAATCGCATATTACTGGGTACTGTGGGATAGGTCAGTATGGTGAACATAATATATTAAAATGACATTTGAAAGAGGTGTAAATATTTGAAAGGCTGTAAAAAAAACATGTTAAATTAATTGTCATCCAAGTCGTCCAAAGTAAAAATCACAATGTTGTTTGTTTCTGTGCCCAGATCACCAGAATGGAACAGTATCCCACCTGAGGACAGAGAAGCCATGGGGCTAGTGTTCAGGGACGACGGAGAGTTCTGGATGGATTTCCGAGATTTCCTAGAAAACTTCGACACCCTGGATATCTGCAACCTCACCCCGGATTCCCCCCTAGATACCCCAAGACGGTGGAAGGTGGCCCAGTTTCACGGACGATGGCAAAAGGGGATTTCTTCTGGAGGACGACCTGTCATGAGAGGTGAAATATTATTTAATTTATTTGTTCAAACCAAATAGTATTATTGGGAATTATTATTTTCTTACAACTGTCAATATTTTATGAAGGCAGTTATTTGGAATTCACAAATAAACTTAAGTTGGGGAATACGATTGTTTTTTCTCTTTTTAATTAGTCTATAATAACTAAATAATATAGTTGCTCTTCAGCAGTTATACTAGCATTCATGTAAGCCGTAGATAAACCATTGAAAGTTTGACTGATATTCATTATGTGTAATTACAGATGAAAGTGGAAAACTAGTTATATCAGGTAAAGCTATGCTGCGTTAGGATAACTCTCGGCTGCTTCTGTAGGAATTGTTGATTTTAACATGGATTGAGTAATTGTTCCACTAACTCTTTTGATTTCACTTTTTTTTCTATGATAGCTAGCTGCTTTTAGTCTATCACATCATTAGGCCATATATCAACTGGTGTGTGTAATAGACAGCACAATTTTATAATAATTTAGTTATATTTCTACACTGAGCAGTTACGTAGAATGTGTCGTCTTTTTATACTTTCCTCTGAATGTTCCATGCATTTCATGTCTGATGGGGCCAAATTTATGAATATTTAGGTCTTCAGCTAGTTATCTTTATTTTTTGCAGCAGTGTGCAGGTTTTATCAGCATGGTGTTTTGGAATTTTGCTTAGGGATATTTTGTGTATTGAAATAAAAGCAAATTGCTACCAAGGCAATTCTTATTTTGGTTTGTTTGAAAGTGTTTTTGGTTTTCACAGAGTGTATGCAGTGGTGTGGTAACAAATCATTTTGCTTTACAACATTGTATGTGTACCTCTCTCTTGCTTCACACCTTACTCAGAGAAAATTATATGTAAGGTTTTTCTTGTTTGTATAAGCTCTGACACTTTAAAACAAAGTCCAAGTGCTTTGTTACATTTACTGGACAATGATAAGACCAAACTATTTTATCTCAGAAATGAGATCAGAAACATCATTAATGTCTTGTAAGCATGTACTGTGATTGCTTAAACTGGCATGTTTTGTTGTTTTCATTTTATTGACGCAAAATTGGTTCAAAAGTGCTGTCTTCAAAGACGGACCTTAACATGCAGTTGTATGGATTTTATCACTGATAATCAAAGTGAACCCCAAACCTGAGTAGCTGCAGCTTTAAGGTCTGTATTTTCCTCTTTTCAACTCGGTGTTTCTTTTCTCTTCAGAGACCCATTGGACCAATCCACAATATAAAGTTACTCTTAGGGATACAGATGAAGATGAGGACAATTTGTGCAGTTTTATTGTAGAACTTATACAGAAAGACAGACGGAAACTCAAACACAGAGGAACAAAGAATGTGGACATAGGGTTTCTGGTGTATAAGGTACAGCAGTGGCATATATGGAAAGTTTTCTTTTTTGTGTGTGTAAATTGCATTGTTTTATTTCATGTACTATTTACTTATTTATGAAACATAGGGTAAGAAAAATATTGTATTTGAAAAATACTAGAAATGGTTACTTCAAAAATTTCTGTTGAGGTGAAATTAAAATAGTAGTTCTTCTAGCCTAGAATTCAGAATTTTGAATTATGAACATTTTATGTTTTATGTAATAAATCAACTTAACTACACAATATCATCCTATTTCAGTATTCCAAAGAATACCCTATGCCTCTCCCAAGAGCTTACTTCAATCTGTTTGGTTTTGTGGAGAGGTGTGATTATTTTTCTAACACTCGGCAGATAGTGAAGAGATTTCTCATGGAACCAGGAGACTATGTGGTGATTCCATGTACATACGAGGCTCACGTGGAAGCAGACTTCCTTCTGCGAGTGTTTTTTGAAAATGATAATTTCACAGTGTGAGTAAAAAGAGAATGAAAATTAAAGGGTTGTGTGACTATTTGATTTGAATGGGTTTAAAAGCAAAGCAAGTAAAAGCCTCTAATTTCACCACAGGTCTCTGAAAATAGTTGCTGTGAAATGATGTATGGAGGAAAAATTTTTAGGAGAGACCTGATATCTAAAAAACACTTAGTTATACTTTACTAGTAAAACTTACACCCCATTTCCATAGATTTTTAGATCGATCTATCCCTGTGGGGAGTCTCACTAGATTACTGTCAGCTTGGCCGGCTTAAGCGTCTGTCCCGCCTACTAAAGCTGTAAGGGGGTAATTAACTATGGTGCCCGTTCGGCTCACTGCAATTTAGCGTGAACCCCAGGGAGTTAGGTCGATCTAAATCTTAATCTCTAGATCGATCTAAATCTCTGGGAAAGCACCCTTAAAGGTTCAAAACTCATGCTGGAAGAATACTTGCCTGAATTTTACTTGGCTATAGCATATTTCTCATTCATGGTTTTCTACTTATGGACTTCTGCCTATCTAATTGTTATGTTCTCAGGCCAACAGATGAGGCAGCAGAACTTACAGGCCCTGTGCCTCCTGCTATAGACCCCACCGTTAAGGAGGGAGAAGAGAAATTCAAGAGATTTTTCTACGAGTCCTCTGGGGAGGTGGGTTATGTGTAATACAGTGTGTGTGCATTGTGTTATAGTGTGTATACATGTGCTATAGTGCACATGCCTTGTTTAAAATGATTGTTATACAATATTGGAGCAATTATGCTCCAATTATCGTGGGTTTCAAAGGTTTATATTGGTTTCAACAAATTAAACCAGAGGTTTTAGTCTGCTCAGGCTTGTAAAGTGGGGTCTTTTTCTGAAAAAGGAGGCCTTTTTACAACCTTAATCAATCCAATTTGAGAAATGGCACAGAACATAGCCTAGATCAAATTTTGAGAGCAGACCATATCAAGCCAAAAGGGAAGTCCATCCAAACCTGTCAACTCCCCTGTCCCTTGCCTAAGTGCCTGACCCTGAATTATGGATAATTCTGATCTGCTCAGTGTTAAAAAGTATGACAATGGTATCATTCTTGTAAATGTTTTTTACTTTTTGTTTTCCAGGATATGATGATTGACTGTTATGAATTCAGAAGGTTAATAAACACAGCTCTGAAATCAGGTAGGAAATATGTATGCTTCAGTCACTAAATACTAAGAAATAATAGAATTTTAGAATAAAAAATTATTTGAAAACATGTTTTCTATTAATCATCACTTACTTTGTATTGATATCTTATAACAACTGTGTAGACATTAGATTAAAAGTAGTTTGTATCCATAGTTAAATAATTTTTAAAATACTTTTTAAGATCTGTCTTATTATTTTTCTTCCAGATCCAAATCATCAAGATCTTGGCATAGATGCCTGCAAGGCATTGCTAGCAATATTTGATGTATCCTTGTTATTTATCTAAGGAGTGTTATGGGGTATAATTCAACATTTTTTGAGAAGTGAATTTTGTAATATGTGACTATTTTATTTCTATTCTGAATTTTTTATTTTGACATTTGTGATAATCCTTGACACATAAAAAGGAGGATTGTTCAGGAAAACTGGGCTTCTTTGAGTTCATACAGCTGTGGAATATGATAAAGCTGTGGATGGTATGTGTTAGATTATTTCTCTCAGAGTAGCATTTCCTCATGGAGGTTGGGGGTACTCATACTTACATTATGGAATCTTTAAGATGAGATCATTTGAAGAAATTACTTTATATTTGCTGTGTACAAGAGATTAGAATTTTGTAAATGTGGTGAAATATCTCAGGTAAGACCCCCCCTTTTATAAAAATATGCTGCTTTGTCTCTTGATATTTGTACTTTCTTTTTATATTATAATTTTATAAAAAATTTTGTAAGTGCAATACATCTGTATTTCATCAGCTGTTTTCTCTATAAAAATATTGCTGCTGTCATCATCATCATTATTTATGCAGAATTGGAAGAGGGGCAACCACCTAATTGTATATATTATTAATCATTATTGCTAATTTATTAATTAATTCAAAATAATAACCTAACAATGGTGTTGGTTAGTAAGTTAATTTACTCTGCTTTGACGTACTAATCTATTTTGTTGGCAGACCACATACAACAATGCAGAACCAGGGCGAACAATGTTAAAACTGAGCGCTTATCAACTAAGAACGGTGCTACAGCCGCTAGGTATGCTGGGAACTTGTGCACTTATTCACCTTTGTTTGAAAGCACTCTGACATCATTTCTAAGCAGAAAATATGCACTTGTCACGTTATTTCTGTGGATATCATTGGGTTTTGCTGGAACCCAAAGTTGGATTGCCACAGTAAGACATGTTCAGAATGTGATTTATTATACCTGCTTAAAATAATGTTAGAGAGTTTTAAAATGGGATGCATTTATATATGCATCATATAATTAGCTAACTTTAATGTAAATATGATAACATTTTTATGTACAGACACAGATGTGTCTGTACATNTGTTACCTATATCCTTCAGCAAGAATTATTCACATATCAACCTGCAGTTGTGTTATAACATATTGTCATATAGTGGGGCTTATTCTTTCATTTGAAAATGTAATTACTGAATTTGGATTTGAGGTTTTGTGTTAGTAATACCAACACCCATTGTAACACTTAATACACATTTTAAAGTAAGAACAAAATTTTAAGTCCTACCCTAAATAAATGTTACTTTATTCAAAGGCTCCTGTTAGCACATAAAATCTTCTGTAAATGCTGAAAATAAGTCTTTGGTCAAAGAATGGGAAATATTTTTTTCAGTTATACTAATTGGTCCTTGTCTTGACGAAAAATATTGACTTGTACAATCATTTTTTTTAGTATTTGGCTAAAATCAAATATAAGCAATAATGATCCCATGTTTCCCTAGTATTTTAGAAACATGCAAGCCTGATCTGACAGCAACATGTTTCTAGTTGTCTGAAATCTTCACACAACCTGGTGACAGTAACCCGCAGGTGTTAAAACAAATTGCTCTTATAATTACCTTTAAATCACCTCTCCTTTAAACAGTATTAGGCACATTTTCATGAACATATTTATTGCAACTTCTTGCTTTAATAATAGGGGGAGTTCTAAATTCTAGAAGTTAGCATGTTGAGGGACACTGCCTTCAATTTATCACCTGAAGTTTTCTGTCTCATTTGATCGGAGGAAGATCCACGAAGTGGGGGAGGAGGGGGGGGGGGTGATGTTGAAGATCTGTCTTAATCCAAAGGTCCCTCAATATGTCCCAGTTTATTCATTTTTTGATGTGAAGAACCAGGAATCCATATATCTCCATTTATACCTCTTGGTTTCAGGTTTTAAATTCAACAGTAAAGTGTTGAGTGCCCTGGTGTTGAGGTATTCTGATGAACAGTACCAGATTAGCATAGACAGTTTTATCATGTGTATGGCCAGGATTACCCAGCTGACCAGTGAGTATTCCGACTTTGATGGCCCCATTCAGAATAGGGGACTAACTAGTCCCTGGGTCATATATGGCTGACGCACTTGAATACTTCTCCACGGAGAATCAGTTCAGTGTATTTTAGCAGATTAGACTGCAAGCTTTGTATTGGGTCGCCATATTTGACCCTCGGACTAGTTAGTCCTCTATTCTGAATGGGGTCAATGTCACTACATTACTGTTGAGAATCAGAATTGAAAGTCTTCCTGATTTATCTGGATTTTGGGGTGTTGTATTAATATTTATGCCTCAGACCTTCTATGCAGAGCTGCACAACTATAGTGCTTGCATTTTCAGTTTTATTTAAAATTAACTTTGATCTCTAATGTCTGAAATTGCTTTTTCAACTAATCATAGGAGGGCAGTATATATTCATGCACATGATAAATACTATTGAATTTTAATTGCCATAGCAGTAGTTTGCCTTTGTGCTGCTCTACATTTGTTTTTATTTGTTTATTTCATTTTCTAGAGATATTCAAGGCCCATCAGCAAAATGGAAAGGCTGTGTTTTCAGTTGATGAGGTGAGCCGTTTTCACTTATTTAACATCGGCTAATATTCTTCCATGTAAAGTCTGTAAAAAAAAATATGAAGTAAAAAAAATAGGAAGTGTTTTTAATACTGGTGATTTGCCCAGACATGTTGTTCATGTGAAATGTTTTCTTTCCAGTGGTTACAGCAGGGTTTACTGATATGAAGATCACAGTTATTGAAGTAGCCTGAGAGATTGACCACGAAGTTATTAGTATTGTAAGAATATACTCCAGGTGAAACCAACTTTACAAGGTGCCACAATGTCTGATCTGTTAATCACAGATCATCGTTATTTTAGAGCTTATGGTGATCATGATATTTGATATTTAGAGCTTACTGTGACCACAAGCAAATTACAAAAGAATGCTGCTGACCTTGGGAGATTACACGTATCTCAGAGGGGTTTGTGTGACTTATAGAGATAGATGAGGACACTGTGTGACCTAAAGAGATCATGTCTACAGTATCACAAAGGACACTGTGTGACCTAAAGAGATCATGTCTACAGTATCACAAAGGACACTGTGTGACCTAAAGAGATCATGTCTACAGGATAACAAAGGACACTGTGTGACCTAAGTATAGCAGTGAGTGCTGTGATCTTATTAGGAGATCATGTATATAAAAAGAACTCTTGTTGACCTGGAGACAAATTTCAGTTAAGTTTATGTGACCTTAACAGATGACATTTACTAGAAAGGACAAGGTGTGACCTTCTGACGTCATAAACATTCCTGCCTGTAGTTTATTCTGCTTAGTATCTGTGACAAGCAGCTGAAACTTGCCCTGATATTACTTTAAACAGTCTCTTACTTAATATTTGACCAATATCTGATGACATCAAAGGATTCTTCAACGGAGAATGTCTTCATGAACAAATGTGCTGTAACACTGTTCATTGGAACAAGGTGTTTTTCATTATCATATTTTATTAGTTTAAAGAGTGGTAAAAACAGGGACCAATATCTGGAACACATATCCCATGTCTTGCCTAGGGACCAGCCATTATCATCCCTGTATATGTGTTGTCTTTTTGATGATATTGTTTCCAGTCTCTTGTATGTGATAGTGATAGAAATGTGATTTCCCCCATCTCCCATCCAAATATACATAGTTTCAAATATATATGCAAGACAATCGTGTCATCAGGGGTGTAGCATAATTGAATCTAGTCTTCTCTTAAAATGTAGGGCAGCTTTTTAGTGAACTTTTATTGGTGCAGAAAGTCTAGAAGATGCTTAATTTGAGGCTTAATTAGACTTAGTGGCATTACAATTACAGCATTCCTATTTGTTGTGTTAGATTTAAGAGAGATTATACTATAGCAATTCAGATATTATCAAAAATGGGTAAATGTTATATTATTATTAATATTATTAAAAAGTACCTAGTGATCTTCTTCATTGTGTTGGTAATTCACTTTCTATCAGTTAGTTTTCTGTTTATCGATTGATAGATTTTGCGTCAAGATAGAATTTGTATTCTTATAACATGATTTCTGTGGGGTTGAGATGGTTGTGAAAAATGAAACATACTGTGTTTTTGCCAATTAGTATATAGTTTAACCCACTACTTGAAGGTTGTGAATTTTAAGTATTTCAGAGTAAAGATTCAGTATGTAGGATATCTCGATAAGATCAAGACAAGTTTTGTGAGAAGTTTTGATAGTTTTTGTAGAATGCATGTGAAAGTGTGTATTGTCTTATGGTAGGTATGGAAGATAAGTAAAAGTTGTAGTGAGAGACTTAACAAATTGAGGCATATTTACAAATTATAAATGTTTTAATTCATAGAAAAGGGTATTTGATTATTTTTGAAGAATTTTAGTAAGATGTGTTAAAATGTATGCTGTTTGTGTTAAAACGTATGCTGTTTTCAAAAATCAAGAAAAAAATCAAAGGAAGCTGTAGCAGTATTTTATAGTCATGAATTTCATGAGCATAAATAAAAAATTAAAAGACTTGTAACAGTCTTCACATTCCATAAAATCTTACTTCTAGTCTTAAAAAATGTATAGCTGCACATTTAAAATTTGAACAATTTAAACAGGAAATGCATATGTATGATTTTAAGAACACATTGAAGTAAATCACACTCTTCATTTGAACAAGCATCCAATTTTAAGACTTGCTGTTAATATATGCTTTTTACCGTTTAATTGTTAAAAGTCAATTTAATATTTATATACATATATCTCTGATAAAATTTTGCATTTGAATTTCATCTAGACTAGTGGAGCGTATAATAAACAGTTTATATATATGCTTCTGATTGTCAAGACGCATAGTGCACTAGTACTATGTGACATCTTGAAGTTCCTCTTACAACGGGAACCGTTAGTGACTAGAGGATTTCTTCAACCAGGCCCAAGTTATCATCCTTCTCGGCATCCCCCGAGCCTGGCTCCACGGGGTCTATTATCTTTGGCGTAGGTGTTGGTTTCGTGCCTCCTGCAAATGGCTCCTTGGTCTCTGTAGTGGGGATTGGTTTCTCAGTCGTGGTCACGGTGGTGACGGTCGTGGTGGTAGTCAATTCTGTAAAGGAGAAATGGTGTGTACCTTTGTGAAGAACTTTTTGTGTCTGTTGAAAAATATACTTTATTTAAATCGGCCTTCTGAAGGCTAGATAAAATTCTTTTGTAACACAGATGATCTTAAGTACATTGTACCTATTAATTAGTTTATCTAGTGTATATCTATTTTTCTATTCCCGTCACAAACTAATCTATCATTCCCAATTTATTCATTTTCAAATTTTAAATTATAGTCGACCTCAAATACTTAATTATCAGTAGCATTATTATTGAGATTCAAGTATATAACCTGGACTATATCGAAACGTTTCAGCGTAACCATAAGGTTTTGTTTTCCTATTTGAAGTGAAACATTATAGAACAAAAAAATAATTATCTTTACATAGACCATACTTTGACAGTTAACGTCCGCGCCAACCCAGCGACCATCCTCGCACGTCTTGATGTCCCCAGTGTTGATATTCTCATAACCTGGTCTACACTCGTATTTCACCTGGTTTCCTTGGACGTAATGTTCTGGCACGTATGGTCCTACCTTCAGCAATACACGGCGACTGAGCGGGAAGTGAGGAGGGCGGCTGCACGGTTCTGAAATGGGATATTTGTTTGTTTGTTTGTTTTTTTTAATGTACTTTGGTTGGAAAGTTATGCCTCTTGAGTAAAATTTGAAGTAGGGATAAACCACAGGTCCTTTAGACCTTCTGAATTCACCTTTTATGAAAACACAAAAGATTTGTTCCTTGATCAAGTTTAAATGTAAAGGGGCAATAGTGATGGGATGTGTTTTGGCAACGTCATTAGAAAAATTAAATCAAAACTTGAAATCGCCCCAAACCTAGTTCATTAACAATAAATAAATATATTAATGCTACGGAGTTACATTTAATATATAGGCCTAATTACGTAGCGCTATCCTGTGTTTACTTACTTTCACAGTGTAGATCATCCGGAGCGGACCAGTTCCCTGATACGCACTGTTTAGTCTCTGATCCCCCAACTTTAAGCGTTCCATTCACACACTGGTAGCGGACCTCGGTACCATGCCGATATGTGGATGAGGTGTCGGCCAGTTCGGTGTTACGGATAGCTGGAGGCGCTTGGCACGATTCTGAAAATCAAAGTTGTACTGTGTGCTTTTGAAAATGTCCTTAATATATATTTTCTGTCTACATACATTCTGGAGGACAACATTTCCCCCAAACTAACACATTCAAAACGATAAAAACCCTCATAGAAAATAACTTTGATGAGCGGCTCGACGTGCACAATAATAGAAGCATAAGTAAGCCCAGAACCTGGGTTATATATCATGGGCACAATTGCGACAAAGAAACAAAAAAAAATGCATCGTGAGTTACTCATGGTCACTCCGTGCACGCATTATTAAAGTTGTACTTTGTGTAAAAGGGACAAAATGTCAGAATTCTCTACTCAACGTACACCCGGCCTGGGTTTTCAACCCCGCTGGTACTACTCACTTTCACATTGAATGTCCTTCCCTGTCCAGCTGCTGTCATGGCACACACGGAGACTGTTGCCTCCGACCTGGGTGTAGCCTGTCTGGCAGCGGTGGATAACCCTAGCGCCCTCTATAAGTCTCCCACCGGGGACGTGGTTCATTATGACGTTAGTGTTCTCAACGTAGGGTAACTGAGCGCATACCTCTGAAAAGAGAACATTTTTTAAAAAATGGTAAAAGACATAATCGTGTTTCAAAAGTTCTAGTCCAGTCGTGGAGATCTGTTATTTGAGCAAAGCTAACCGAATTATATTATATCGGTATTTCATATACAGTACATGTTACATTCATATGTCTAACAAACAAAGAAACAAATAATTGAAATTAAGCAAATACTTTGACAATCGATGTCATCGCCAGTCCAGTTGCCTCCAACGCAGGTTTTCAGAGCAGTCCTATTTACTGCCACTAACCCAGGGATACAAGTATATTGCACAACGGTTCCTTCAAAGAATGGGGGTTGGGGAGGCGTTACCACGGCGTTCTTAACATCTGGCGGGGATTGACAAACACCTGTCAATGAAAAAAGGTCTCATGATATGAGGATGTGGTATGCTGTATCATAATACCAAAAGAAAGAACAGCGACCATTGAACATTTGGGAATTTCTCAAATACAATTTTTTCTAATCAATAACCTGAATTTTGGAAGGATTGTGTAAGGTTTTAAAATTCGTTTTGGTCGTACAGCACGTACAATTTTTAAAAAAAGACGCTCTTTGAATAGTTTTAATCGTACTGACGTTTGCAAGTGAAGTCTGTTCCCTTCCAGACACTGTTGGTACACATCTTGGTGTGGACTGTTTCTGGATAAGTTGTGCTCTGGTACCCTCTCTCACACTGATAGGTGACATTGTGGCCTTCCAGATAGAACTTCCTCGCCACAGACGTTATATGTGCACCGGTCAGCTTAGGGGGATCTGGACACGCTTCTACAAGAACAGAATCTGTATGATACAACAATCTTTCATGCAGTGGTGTCACTTCGTATTGAAGTGTTGACATAACACTAAATAAGACTACCATATACCCTCACTGTTACAGGACATTCAGAATTATCCCCCCCCCCCCCACTCAGTTTAGGGGGGTCTGGATACGCTTCTACGAGTGCAAGAACAGCAGCAGTTTGACACGTCAATCTTATTACAGCTACGTCACTATTTTCATGCGGTTTTGTCATTACACTATAAAAGATTGCCATATCGCATTGATTTTCATCCTTGATACGGGGCAGTCAGAAGTATTTTATCTATCGATTCGTAAAACTCGTTTGAGTTTTACTGGGATACGAAGAACCCGAAAGATTTTAAGGAGGAAAAAATTAGAAAAAGACGTATTTTTGCATAGTTTTAATATTAGTTCAGAAATCGCCCTGAAGCAACAAAGTTAAGCTAGCATACCCTTGCACTGTGTATGGTCCAAAAGTAAGCCATCTAATATATGCATTTACAAAGAAAAATGTTCTTAAAATATTATAAAAAAATTATAAACTTTCGATTTTCCAAGAGTACTCATAAAAATGACAGTAAAACACTGAAAAACGTAGGATATCGTCTTACTAGTGCAAGTCATCGTCCCAGCCATCTTCCACTCTCCGTATACACAGGTCATGGGAGTGACATTGCCGAGGTTGGTATGTCCCGGTAGGCAGGTATACTGTACTGTACTACCGTGACTGGTGGATGACTGGCCGGCTACAGCATTGGGTATCTTTGGGGGAGTTGGGCATGTGTCTTCTGAATAAATATATGAATAGGAATTACCAAGGTGAATTTGTTTTCAGGTCAAGCGAAACAGCTGACATGTATATATAATTTTCTATTTGCGATAAAAGATACTATACAGAGCTTCATTTATTACCAGTTTGTAGTCTAAGTATTGTAAATGTATGATGTTGTATGTGCATGCATAATTATGAAGAGGGGGGCAACTGATAAAACAGTGGGGGCAAGACCATGTCCCAATGGCGTATGCAGAAACACGTTATTTAATGAGGATATGCGAATTCGGACTTTGATCATTGATAATTATGTGCTCCGTCAGGGGCCTGAGGTAGAGAGTGATCAACTTACGCTTGCAGTCCAAGGTCCCGCCACTCCACTTCCCGTTCGTACATGTTTTGATCACCACTGGCGCAGTCCCAGAATTCATGTAGCCAAGAGTACAACTGTAGACGGCGATGGCGCCCTCCACTTGGGTTTGGCTGGCCTGCGGGAGGGTCAAAGTAGCATGAGGAAAAGTTGGTGGGGTCGGGCATGTTCCTAACATAAGAAACGACAAAAAATCATAAATGTTTAATAACGACCATCTATTTATATTGCCTCTATTTTCTAGATAGTTTTGCGTTTGAAACCATATTTGTAGGGTTGTAAGGAAGCCAAGGGGATTGAAATACGTGCCCCCCCCCCTCTCCTCGGACAGATAGAATATAAAGTATACAATGGGAGCTGATAACACACAAGTTTCCCATAACATATAACACTGTACATGTACAAATTGTTCAAATTTTATAAAAGCAAGAACTCGGAATACTCGTATGAAACATTATACAAATAATCTACGAAAATTTGCTTTCATACATATTAGATATGCGTCCAGCGAGCGTGTTTATATCGATACAGCAACCTTTAGAATAATTCCATTCTATAGTTATTACTAACGTTTACAAGTTTTTGCATCCAGATTGGTCCATTTTCCATCTTCACCACACAGCACACTGATGGGGCCGTTTGATGTGTAACCTGGAACGCACGTGTAATTTGCCTTGTCACCACTGGTATAGACAGCCGTTAAGTTCCCTAATAGTCGACCATTTTCCAAACGTGGTGGTGGTTGGCAGATCTCTAAAATATATCGAGGAGTATTTAAGAAATACATAGAAGCATGTAAAGAGCTTCAAACTTAGCAAAATATTGGAGTTTCCTAGAAATTACAGCAAATTTCTTTCAATAATATGCCCCACCGCAAACCGTTGAGAATATTACAATCGATAAATATAATTTTTAAGTTACAAGTTTCACTTTAGAGCCAATCTCTCATGATGGTGAACAAATGTGGTGAATTATTGGCGTGAAGCTGAAATTGGACACTTTCAACACCGAAAAGAGGTTGTTATTTGGTCAACAATTTCTGATAGGGTGTCTAAAGAAATATGGTTGAAATTTCCACAAATATTGATTGCCGGATAATTGTCTGTCTTTAAATTTGTGCGTTGTGAATTGAAAGACATTGTCCAGTTTGTAAGAAAAAGCGTTTTCAGATTTCTGGACCACAATATGTGTGCAAAATATCTATCATATCTCACTGTGGTATAAAACTTTTTGTAGAAAGAAGTCTACGTAAACCATGACAGCAACTTGTATTTACTTTATATACATTCAATTTATTCTTTAATTTTCTTTTTATACGGGGTGGTGGTAGGGGTACATACTGTCACATTTAATGTCTGTCCCTGTCCACGTTCCGGATCTACATGTTCTTATTGCGTCTCCATCAATTTGGGCAAACCCGGGCTGGCAGAGGTATAAAATGGCTGCTCCCTCCATATAGAAGTGCGTGAATTGTCCGTGTGAGCTGGAAGTATTGGGGATAGCAGGCGGAGCAATGCAGGTACCTGGAGAAGAAATATGTCATAAAGATTTTAAACTTTTTTTCTTCAAAAAATACCATTAAATACTCGCTGTGAAATTGATCGTTGTTTGTTATTGTTCGTAATTTGTTACTTTTATCTATTCTCGCAGTTAGTTAAAATATTTGTACCAGTTTTTTAAGCTTATAATGCATATAAAACCCCTAAGGAAATATCAGCTTACGTTTACAAAGAATGTCATCACCACTCCACCGTCCTGCAGTACATGTCCTTGTGGCATCTCCACCAACCTTACCATAGCCGACCAGGCAGTGGTACTTGACGGACATTCCTTCTGTGTAAACCGCCGGTGTACCGTCAGGACTCGGGACTAACGCGGCTCCAGGTAGGTTTGCTGGGGTCGGACACGTCCCTGTCAAGTACATAAACTTAAAAGCATTACGATTTTTAAGTTAACAGCTTCACCTTATTAGATAAACTTCTATTCCCATGATATTCCTTAGACTGAGAAGAAATGAACATATCTATATAAAAAAAAAAACATTACAAACTGAACGGTTAAAGTAACTTAACATTTCCCTACATGTCTACCAAGATTAAACACCTTTTTATTCGAATTACAAATAAAGCCAGCTTGGATTAACTATATGGTGGCTTTTACTGGGTTTTGTGGCAAATTTTGACTTTTAATGTGTATTTCACAAAGGTAAATTGTAAAATCATAAATAAATATTAGCTTACGTTTACAAAGAATGTCATCACCACTCCACCGTCCTGCAGTACATGTCCTTGTGTCATCTCCACCAACTTTACCATAGCCGACCAGGCAGTGGTACTTGACGGACATTCCTTCTGTGTACTCTGTAGGTTTCCCCCTAGTAGTCTGGACTAACGCGGTTCCAGATAGCTTTGCTGGGGTCGGGCACGCCCCTGTCAAGTACATGAAGACTTTATATTTATTATATAAGTCATTAGCTTTAACCTTTGGATAGATTTCTATTACTACAATTTTCTTTACCTGTCTTTGGAGAAGTTATGATGTATGAACCTTTAAAAGACAATCCATTTGACGAACCCTAAGGTTTTTTGGAAGAGGCAAAGTGTTTAGAGGTATACTCTGTATAGAATTTCGAGTCAGTACATTTTAAATTAACAAGAAAACATACTTTCGCACGATATGCTTCCATTCTCAGGTTTCCACGTTCCTAGTTTACAAGTTCTCACGGCTTCCCCGCCAGTTCTTGCATATCCACTTCGGCAACTTTGTACGATTCTTTCGCCGCTGTTGTAGACAGTCTTTATTGGGGAGAAGTAGAATGTGGTTTCAGTTGGTGGTGCTCTACATTTCCTTGCTGAAGAAAGAAGACTGCTATCAAACTGCCCAAAAAACTGTTGGTGCTTGTGGAAAATCATATAACCAGGTAGGAAGATGAAAAAATATAACTGAATGGTTAAGTAGTTCATTGCCTAATTCACTGAAATTCCCTGTTTGAAGTGCAATGTAACAGTAAACATTTGAGATTTCTGATACGAGAAAGTGGCACCGGTTTTGAAAATGTGTTTCTGACTAAAATTTTAAAAGGAGTATCTTTTTATTGCAATGCATACATTTGGAATGTGTTTGAGAGAGAGAGAGAGGGAGAGAGAGAGGAGGGAGGGTAGGATGGAAGGAAGGATAAGAAGAGGGTAGAAATGACAAATACTGTAAGAATCCCCAAACAGGTCAAAAATCGTAACTATTTCAAGTAGTTTTCTCCGAAAACATGATTGGAAAGTTATTTGAAACACACACAAACAATCGTTAACAGGATACTGGATGTATATATTTAAATATGTGTTATTTAAAAGAGAAATGACTTACGCTGACAATCTAAAACGCGGCCCCTCCAAGAGCCTCGAAAGCAGGTCATGTGAACGTGATCCACTGCCCCATAATAGCCAGGTTTACACACATAGGTCACCCTGTCCCCTTCAACTATCTGGGACGCGGTGACAGGTGCCCCAGTAGCCACTGACGTAGCATAGGTAGGTGGCTTTGGACATGTTTCTTGAACATAGAAAGCAGATCTCTCTTTGTAAGTATTTTGGCATATTTTATAATTGACATTGTATGCCATACGTAGCATTTTAATTATTCATATAATACAAAAAAAGCAAGAAGAGTGAGGTAAATCAAATTAGTCCAAACGGAAAAATCTTATAGGATCCTATAAGATCCTTTAGGATTTATAGGAAATTGGTAAAATTTCCTATAAGATCCTATAGGACTTTTTCGTTAGGGATGTCATATCAAGATGGCTCAGTGCATAGGTTCTCTCTACCAAAGCTCAGATTGGCGCTGATGTCATTTTTTTTTCGAATATTTCCTGCAGAATAGGAAGCAGTGCAGAATTAGCCATATAAATATCTCAGCATATCCAGTCATAAGAATACGTAAGACGCCTTCGGATGTGACTGTACTATTTCCTATTTTATCCTAACTTTACAAGAAACAATAAACATGTGACATGCTTGTTATACATTTAAATACTTACGTTTACACACGATGTTTTTCCCGCTCCAAGCGCCGTTTGAACACATCCTGACTTGCGACCCAGATGTCTGTGCAAAGCCAGCTTTACACGAGTACCGCACTTTTTCCCCTTCAACGATGTTAGACGCTGTGAGCGCTGGTCCTGACGCCACTGCATTGGCTATAGTAGGAGGTTTTGGACATTTTCCTGAAATAAGAGGAAACCGATTCCATTTTAAAATATTTTTAGCTGTTATGCAGATACGGTGAATTATCATTGCCATGTATAGATTTTAACGAAAATAAGATACTGCTGATAAATAGAAATAATCTAAAGAAAACCATGCACAAGTTGATACAAAAACGAAGGATCTTACATGATAGACTGGTAACTAAATTTTGGGATAAAACTTATGTATTATTTTATAAAAATGCACGACAATCCTAATGGAATTCAATAAGCGAGGCACCGTTCAGAACCACTACACTCACAGAAATGCCAATTAAACGGAAACAGCAAGCGACGTGCTAATGGTGTAAGTTATAGGCCCCTAATACTGATGAATCTATGAATATCTACTATAAAGATGTTATGTGTAATCCAAGCCCTCGGCCCCTAGGCCTTCTTTGGGGATTTTGAAAAAATAATAAAAAAACAAGATACTAGACCCTATAATAAACGTAGCCTCCTTTTTTTATTTTTGTCGATTTAAATAAACCATAAAAGAATTTAGGCATTATAAAGCCAAGACAAAAAAATCCAGTCATTCAAACGGCAAAATGGATGGCTCTCCATACAGTTCGTGTTCTGCAGGGGTGGGTGGGGATTGAACATCTATGTGATTCTCGCAACATAAGACCAATGAAACGTCCAGAATTTCACTTATGAGGGGGTTCTTGGTGGGAGGGGAGGGGTAAATAAGACACTAGAGACTTTCTGCCTTGTATTTTCCTCGGAGTTGCATATGAAGGCCAACTTGTGACAGTGACAGTGATAGTGAAAGTGTGAAAACGCATACTAATGATGTACATTATTGATAGACGAACCAACATCTGTAGTCTAATTCCATTAATACCATGCATATTGCATCTGTCTCAAACGATTTTCGGGTTCATATGTGCCTGTTCAAATTCAAATTCGTTTTGGTCAAATATGCGTTCTACTATACTCCTCAGTCTTGTATTACTGCTCTGACCTGTATTTACTTGAGGTGTAAAGCGAGAAAACAGCTGGCAGGCAGGTTTTAAAATTTATCACGCAAAGCTTCATAAGCCGTTTTAAAATTTATCAAGAGAAATTTCAAAAAATATTAAAATAAAAACTAAAGGCGTGAGTACAGAAAAAAAAACTAGTTACAACTATAAGTAAGTGTAAAAAGAAAAAATCCAGACAAAAAGATGGAGTAGATAAACATGTATAACAGAAACTGTATTCATGGAAAATAAGTTAGAGCTTTTATTTTTTTTCTAGTCCATCCTTAATCTTATGAGACTCTTGAATCATAGCTGTCTATTTTTATCATTTAGACAACATCTACAACAAACTTACGTATACATTTAATATCTGGTTTGCTCCAGTAATATTTGGTGGCAAATGTGCACTGAGACACGGGATTTGTGCCAATTTGGGCCAAACCAGCCTTGCAGTGGTAAGTGACCTGATACTGCTCCATCGGGATCCAGAAATTAGCATTCTGGATGCGTGCGACATGGCCATACCACGCCCCTTCAACATCTTGAGGTTTTCCACCCCAAATGCATTTATCTGTTTCCCGTTTATGGACGGATGGTTTGAACATACCTGCAGTTGGATCAGCTATTTGTTAAACATTTTATTACAACAAAACGGCAATTGGACCAGGAGAGGAGGGGTTGCCTAAATTTAGCTATTGCAATATCTACACTACAGATGCTACTCACGCTGTATGTGTTTGTATATAGCATTTCGTGACTCTCTGTAAATCTTTGCCAGTCACAGAGCAGATTATGAAGATAAGTGGTACATAAAAAAGGTTTCACTATCAGAATTTCTTTAATAATATTTGGAAATCTAGCAAAGCCTAAAGACCCAATGATATTATTACTCGCGTTGAAATTTCCGGACGTTCGCAGATGGACACAAGAAACAGTAAACCTAGAAACCGTGCATCAATGGAACTGCCAGTAGAAGACGAAATGAGGTCAATTTATATAAAATGACCACGGGGTCTAATGCTACCTGAAGGTTAGCCCATATCACATCGACTTTACAGAAGACTGAACTGTCTGATATCTCTTGAAGCACAATGGTTGGAAAAGAGAAACGGTTGGAATATGGTTGGAATATTCCATGGTTCAATGGTTGGAATTGGGAAACGACCCTCATTACTGCTTCAGTAGCTTGATGCATAACAACACAGCCTTACGTCACTGTCCGACTCTGGTGTGAAATGCGAGTATTTTCTCTTGGTTTGTGTGACAAATAATACACTGTCATCTTAAACACTTTCGTTGACGCTCGAGGAGTTCTGGCATACATCGCTCTGTGTGGCAGCATGTTATCACACACCTGCAATGTTTTACTGGGTTTTATAATATCTGTATGAGGGTTAGCTGGACTTTGGTCAATGCATTACCCAGTTGGAATTAACTGACGCGTTCGATGTGGAATTACGTTTTATTCATACCAAGAATATCGGAAGCAGCGAGAGGTTCTTGAACAAAAACTATGGCCGTTGCAATATACATGTATGGGTTACCACACTCGCATCTCTCAATGCTAAGAACAACCGGCAATAATGACAGGACTACAGGGGATGAAAATTTGTAGGAAAAAGTACGTGAAATGCACGTTTTGAACTCTTCTGGGGTAAGAGATGAATATGTCGTCTCTTATATGTCAGGAATAACATCTCCAGAAATCTGTTTGGAGTTTCATTTCACTGGTTTTATATATGTTTATTGTTTGATAAATTAAAAAAAAAAACTTGTAAGTGGGCTTTGAACAAACTGGCAGCTATAAGCTCGGATAACAGCTGCAATTTGCTTGCCGTGCAAAGTTCGTCATAGACTTACGTGTGCACGTTATTTCGGGAGTGTTCCAGTAATAGCCTGTGTCCACCCTGCACTGCGCTACTGCATTGGTGCCATTTTGAACATATCCCGACCGACAATAATAGGTGGTTTGATACTGCGGTATCCAACGGTCAGCATTTCTGATACGAATAACTCGGCTGTGCCATCCTCCTTCAAGTTCCACGGGTTGCCCGCCGTATACTCCGCATCTTTTTCTTGTGTGCCGTTTATAGACAGATGATTTATTAAAACCTGCAGTGGGAGCAAATTTTACATCACGCGTGGCCTTCACCAATGTTACCCGCTAGTTCACAGGGTGGTTATAAAGGGTACCAGGTTTATCTACATTCAGCTACTCTAGCAACTACACTTGGTCGCTACACTGGTGACTACAGTGACTGGGAATACTACATGTCATATGTGACGCTTAGAGGCACACAATTCCCGTTGCTACTTTATACAGAAGAAATTTATTTTCCTGGAAATTTTAGGAATTGTTCCTATATCAACTGGATACAACTGAAAAATCTTTCATTTTAGAATATCTGTTAAGCCGTTTTCTTAGTTTCTGATTTCATCGTCCACAGTCTCTATCTCCATGACATTCGGTTCCGTATCGCTGGATCCACAGATGAACATTCTCAATATGGATGAAAGGGCCATACCGTGCCCCTTCAGGATCCTGCGGTTTACCGCCAAAAAGACAACTTCCGGTTGTGTCTCGTTTATGAATTTGTAGCCTACCTTCCCCTATATCTGTTGCTTGAGTGTAGGCCTATGTTTTCGGCAAAAGGCATACTAGCACTGAAAGGTGTGTATAAAAACTAGCAAAGCAAAGCGTGTGTACAAGGTATATTTCGGTATTCTACCATGCGTCTACTCGTACAAGATGGGAAGATGTGCTTAGAACTAGAACCAGATAAGTGAATTGGTACGCTGGCGTCTACTGGTACATCAGAGGTGACTATGTCTACGGTATCTAAGGGTAGTTGATGTAACGTTATCTGATCTGACGGATTCTAGTATTGGCTTTAACGTACATTTTCATAAAATCTTAAGTTTACACAATATTACGAGTGCGCCAATAATAACTAACTTAAAAACATGTGCGATTAACTAGAGCAAATATGCATGCACTAAGAAGCAAATATATAGTAGACATGCAGTAAAAACAGTTGATTGAAGATATTCCAGAAAGCCTTTAGCATTAAAGCAACTTCATGTATATACTCTAACAAGTGACTAATACTTTCGTAATTATAGCCACGTTGATGTAAGCTTTGACACGTTCATTACAGCGCCTTTTTAATCATGATGCACCCATTTGGTGCAAATGTAGCATACACCAATTTGAATAAATGACCAGACCATAGTGAACAACATTACAACTTACCCTTCGTTTCGCCATTATTGCACTGTGGTTTCTCATTTTGTCTTACTGTTAAAAACAATGTGTGAAATATGTCAAATGTTATATGTGATAAGAATTGCAATGAAAATATGCCCCCTTGCCAAAACGTGCTTATAAAATATACAAAATTTCGGACACCAATAATAATCTGTTTGGTTGTTACTGGTTGAAAAACTTACAATTCCCCTACACATTGCAAGCGATACAAAGATAAAAGAGGCAAAAATTGACGGAATAAAGAAGATGTCCGGCTTATATCTGATGTTACCTTAAAACAGAGGTTACACTATGACATAAAATGGGCTGCATTACCGCGGGTGTGATAAATCACGTAAGACTACGGATTTTTGTTATTCTTTTAATATGTTAAATAATACTTTTGGAAACTACTTTTCAAAGAAGAATAATTTGTGTTATGAGAGATTAATACACAAGGGAAATTGTTCGGTAAAGAAGAAGCATGTAGGCCTATATGTCCAGGCACGTAGTGGCAAAGGGCCATCGCGAACAATCTGTGACGGGTCAACACTTTCATTAACTTGTACTGTAAATATGAAAATCTATAACTACACCTACATGTAGTTTCAATCGTCTGAAAATGTATCGATATTTATCTCCATCATATCTGTTATATAATTAGTATCATCCAGAATTGTTTTCATAACAAATTGGATATTAATGGGATGTGAATCTATGAGGTGAAATTTGGATAGCACGGCACTCATTATGACAAAGCCTACATTGGATTGCAAGATGAAAATAGTTCTACTGCGTCGAATAACTTAATATATATGACGTAAGTTATAACTTGCAGCAGGGCGATACTCACCACAGCATTGGGTCTTTTTCTTGTCCATGCACAGTCTTGTACCAATGAGCTCGGTGCCAGCTTGTCTTGAACAGTCAGCCTCACACTGACCGCCACAGAAGGTCTCACACATGCTTTCCTTTTCTGAAGTAAAGAATCAATTACGTACGGCTTGTGCTTGGAAGCCGAAAATTATTATTATTATTATTATTATTATTATTATTATTATTATCATTATTATTATTATCTGGGTCTGTGTTACACCCTAGGCAATACAGTTCAGGAAAGAGTAGAATTTTATATATGGCATATGTATTTTCACCTTGTTATTAAGGGTTCAAATATCTGGAGTATTTATACTCACTCCTCTTGACGCAGCAAGCATTACGGCAACCACCAACCCCGTAGATTTCCACTTCATCTTTTTTACACGACAGTTGACATCTTCCTTCTAGTTGGAAGCATTTAACCACACTCCATTTGCTTGGAAGTTTGAGTGACTTCAGACTTCCCTTCGGCGTGGGATGTCCACCACTGAAGCCTGCATAGAAAATGTACCTCTAATAAGGATCGCGTCGTTAGGACAAAATGCAAGGTGTTTTTTCACGAGGAACGCGTTTGTAAAATACGATACTCGCTTAATGTTCTGCTTACAGATTCAAAATTCTAATTATATGTGAATACTCCGAGGGTTAGAACGTGTCTTTGAGTTCGCCAAGAACTATCAATATGAAAATGAAATTAAAGCAATAATAACTCTTCCTTTGAGATTCAAAATTCCGCAAGAAATACATTCTAAACAACACATGGAAATATATTATGTTGCATTTCACCAATAAAACGGCTGTTATTGTAGTAAAACTAAAAACTGTGCTTGTCAATAGGGCTTTCGGTGCCTTTCCAGGTCGTCAAGGCATCCGTTGCCAAGGATGTTGGCGCATCACGCGGATTCTCGCGTGCATTCGAGACCAAAATAACATGTGGCGGGATAAGATATAGCAGGCGCATGACACAATCCTCAGACGTAAGTTGCGATTTTTTTAACAGAGTGTCGGATAACGAAAAGCCCAGAACTGAACACATTGTAGATATAAATGCATTCTGAGCAATAAGACGATTATATCGTATGAATCTTATTTTATTGTAATAAAGTGTTGTTGTCTGCTTTTCCCGCGGTTTAAAGTAGGTCATCAGAAAACCCCGCTCGATATCGCGTGACTATATGCAATGTCAGAGAGGGCTCCGTCAGTTAAAATCTCTTAAGAGATTTTTACAAAAAACCAAGCGTTTAGGAAAAAAACTTGGACTAACTTTGAATGCAGGAATGGGGTCGCTGACCATTGGTAAGTACGGAAAAATTGCCGTTTACGCCAGGAAAATCCAATTTTTGGCCAAAACGAAGAGTTATTATGACTTTAAACGGCTATACAAGATTAATTAATTTATGTATTCCAAAAAAAAAAAAAAAAAAAAACGACCTTTATCAGCCGGATAATACAAATGTATTTATTTATTCCGGAACTAACACAAAATTTACAAATTTGAAAAAGAGTGGCTGTACTTTAAATATTATTTCTTTCGTCACTGTTGACAGCAATCGCGTTCATTTACATGAAAAATTTTACCATGCATACAAATATACATCAAATCCGATCTGCTATTAATAATAAAGAGCATTTACCTGTAAACAAAACTAGAAGTAAGACAAACGTCAGATATCTCACTTGCTGAAGATCCATTGTTTAAAACTGGATCACATTCTGAAAACAAAACTACCAATATACATTTATATATAGTAGGCTTTCATTGAAAAGTATTGGCTTTTTGGGCTTTTTTAATTTTTTTTTTTTTCGTAATGCAATCTACTTCTGTCCGAAACAATACAACTTAGAAAAAATGAAAGTATCACAGATAGTGCAACATGCTCGATTGGCTTAGTACCACACCATATTCATCAACGGCATATACTATATATACAACAGATTTACTAACCAGCGATTCACTTCTCTAAAGGTATGTCCATGTGTCATTTTTTTACAGGTGACTTACCTTTCCGAGTGAAAGCCAGCCGTGTGAAACACAACCACAATATTTGTTCTTATGACCGTAACCACGGTGTGTGTATATAAAGGACAGTTCACGTATGACCACCATATCTCACACCTATAGACTACCGGGGCAGGGAAGCGATAATACTGTCTCACGATAAAGTTAGCGCTTTGATTCAGAGATATACTACTGTTATTATTAATTTAGACTAAGGCCTAGGCAAATACTGAAGTTCAACCAAAACAATCTGTGTTGTGTAGATTTACGTGTGACATCCCAGTATCAATACAACAGCGTGAGTGACATAAATGTTATTTGAAGTTGATTAGTTCCGCCAGGTAATCTGGGTTATCTGTCAATTTCCCACAGTTTCGCACGCACTACCCCGCGACAGGGCGACTAAACTAGAGTGAGTTCACACAATGCTGGATGGATTCGAGAGCGTTCACACGATGCTGGATGGATTCGAGAGCGTTCACACGATGCTGGATGGATTCGAGAGCGACTATTTCGTTAATATTGTACGAATGGTTTTTTTTAATCAGACCGTTTAAATTAATTTTAAAAGAAATTTTCAACACCAGTATCAAGGTATATAAATACATTTTATTAATTAATGACAAGTTAATCATATAAGGGAGAAAGCAGGGGATGGACTGTTCACGCGCTGAACAGTCCATTTAGCTCTTAGAGGGCTGCAGTTCTTCTGATGAGAAGTCGCGAAATGCTCTTATACATGTGCAATCCAGTATCTGTTCGTTTCTCCAATATTTTTGCCGAAAATAATCACGGTGGTCCCGCGCGATCAACTAAAAGTGGTGTTTAGCATCCTGCGTTTTGGCCGCAGTCTTTTGTATAGTGAAACAGACGCTCATGACATCTTTAATTTTCGTCATTTTGGTAAACCACTGCAAATTTGCCGTCGACAATTCTGAATTGAGGCCGAATTTCAAATTTCGACGGTTTTGTACACAAGAACAGTTAAATATTGACCTAGATGGGGTAGCAAATATCTCTCACTCTGTGAACTCGTCTGGGAGTGACTGGATTATATAACGATATGTCATATCTTTCCTGATATTTAACAGCGGCAGGGGGCAAGTAATGAGATAAAAAGCCATGTTAGTTGATAAGATACCTTACTTTGCCAGTTCATTTGGTAATAATAACAACGTGTATTTGTAAAAACTGGTACATAATAAAACCAATCGGGTGGAACTTAATAATTATTGTAATTATTGTATGTTGTTATTGTTATATATGGAAATTAATTGTGGTAACTTTCTGAAAAATATCAATTGATAAATTTCCACTATCCAAGTTAGAATCCCGTATACGGATTGGGTCCAAGATTTAATTCAACAAAATACTTTAGAAGTTTGAAGTGACATTAATTTTTTTTATTTTTATTGTATTCGTATTAAAATATACATGCATCTATATTTACTGTCTACTGTAGTTCACAATCTTACCAGTGTTTATTTTCCTTTTGCATTATTTACAACTTGTCACACCTACGAAATGTCGGTGACAGGTTACGCTAAGATGTTGGCAGAAAAGAAATCACCTGACATATTTCTGAGGGGAAAAAAAGGAACCATCTTCGTCCGCTGTACATAAAATTCTTCTCGTTCGCTGCTGTTTCAATCACTGATAGTTTGAGCGTTAAACTTTGGCAGTTACAGACGACAGGTGTATATATTCATGTTCGTAATTTATTGCATATTGTTTCAACTATAAGTAACAAACAAAACGTGGTGGAACATTAATTATTTATTCTTTTAAAATGCTTGGTTTTGATGAATGTTCAGATATCCATATCGAAGCGTGAAATTTTAAAGCACGTCGCTTACAAGGTGGTTCAGAAACTAAATGTTTTTAAGTGTGAAAATGGATGATCTTTTTGCTTAGTTTTTTACTTTCGAAAACGTGAAAAATCACAACAGCAAGAATTTTGTATAAGATATCCAATATTCCCGACCAATGGAATTGTTCGAAACGAAATCAAATTCCTCCTATCTTATTGTTTTCTTTACGACACCGCTGTTTTATTCAGAAAACACTTTAATGAAAATAAACTGAAATGACGCACTAAAATCTCCTCGATATGCTTCAACTCAATACATCCTGGATCCTAAAGGTACAATTGTATGTGTATATACAAGCCCCAAAATTTAAGCCATTATTCCCCGTAAAACGTTTAGACATTAGTCTGATAAAAGGAAAGGGAGCACTTTATGAATTTCAGAATTTACTCAGATGTCTTAAAGAAAATGGAATTCTGTCCTTTATTCAATTTCAGTTTGTCAGCTGTTATATAAGTATTGAAATGAATGCTGCTTCTTTCTCTGAAAATCAACCCAAAAGGTACTCTTCCACCAGTGCGTCGTTTGCAATGGCTCCCGATCCCGTGTCCGTGGTCTCTACAGTCTTAGGTGTCGTAGTCGTCTTCATCTGAGCCGTAGACACCGGTTTGGGTGACGTTACACGGGTGGTAATCACTATAGAATATAGGAGAAAATAAAAACAGACATACAGACAGATAGGGATGATCAATTTGTCAAAACTTGTCAAGTTTTAGGAGTGTCAAAAGACACAGTGTCGGTAAAGAATACATTACCTCTGTTGGAATCTGTGAGCAACGTTTTCTACTACCAGATTGAAAATATAATCTAGCATATTCCCGGTCTAAAATACACAGAAAAGTGAAAGGCTAATTATCATCGTCTTTTCACAGTTAGAAAATACATTTTAACGCTAAATCAGGTTTACCACAAGCATTGCCAAGTTTGGCGAATATACGTTTTGATTCTTACTTTCACACTTGAATGTTTTTCCTGACCACGTGCCATTAGTACATGTTCTTGTATCGTCACCCTCAGCCTTAATGTAGCCTATCTTGCAACGATGGATTATTCGAGCACCCTCTTTTAGTTTCCCGTCAGGGAAATGATCTATCAAGGTGTCTGCATTTTCAGCATATGGCAACCCGCTGCAGAACTCTGGAACACAATAGGTTGAAATACAAAGTAAGTAAGATAATGAAACAAAATTTAAATTAAAATTAAAAATTCAACGAAAAAAGTGGAATACATTTTGAAACAGTGTAACCCACATGTGCCTCATCGTCTGGAGTTGCCCATAGAAATGTAAGTTGTCTTTTGGTGTTTTCTTATGACTAGGACATCATTGCTGTTTATCAAATTGTTCAATTGATGGAGTTTTTCAGTTGGCGGTTTATCATACCCAGTAACTGAGATACTACAATTCCAAACTGCCATGCAGCTTTAAAACTGTGCGTTTGTCATAATATATAGTTCTTCACCTGGGGGAATACATAAAGGTTTTTTAGAGAAATGGTTTATCAGTTTGTCCAATGATTAAAAAAAGACCGTGAAACGGGGCACGAACCAGACCCTCCCAGACAATGAAATCATTCGAATTTAATAGATTTTCAATTATTATTTTTTTTTTCAAATTTCATATCTGAATACAATTAGACAACACATAAAAACAAAGCATAGGCCTACTTTCACAGATGATATCAACTCCCTCCCAACTGCCTCCGACGCAGGTTTTGATAGAGGAACCACCAGCTTGCACGGAGTTGCCTTTACAGATGTAGTATGCACTGCTGCCCTCTACAATTGGTAACACCGGCATCACAACGTTGGTGTTCTGGACACTTGGTGGGGGTGTACAAGTACCTGTACAACGATAAAAATTTTCTATAACATTCCACGATAACTGAAACCAAAACACATCCAATTCGTGATTCTAGCTGGAGTTCGTTCGTAAATTTCATGCGTCCGAAGTACTACGTCTAACACAAAAGCGATTGAACAGAGACAACAACCCTTAGAAAAACATTAGACCTGTTGCAAATTTGCAGCAAATTTGCTGCAATATTAATGCAAACTGCAATTCCTTCTTTTAAATTTGCTGCATTGTGCAAACTCATGCAATCTCGTTTCAGCAAACTTACAGTTTGCAGCGAATTTGCTGCAATACTGTTGCAATATTCCGACAAACTTTTCATTTTGCTAAGGGTATAATATAGTTAGTGCGGGTGACGACAGTCATCAAACTACAAATGGCGTTATAACATTTTAACACACATTATCAGTTCGAATCCTGCCAACTTACGTTTGCAAATAAATGTTGATCCCTTCCACACACCACTGTCAGAACAAGTCATCAGATGGATTTCCGCTGGGTCTTTAGAGTGCTGGTGTCCTTTCTGGCATCGGTAAGTGACCGTCTTGCCTTCAACATACGTGGCACTCGGCGAAGATAACAGGTTGGTGTTATTAAATTTTGGTGGAGATGGGCATGTCCCTGTAACCAGAACGTTATGAAAATGAGCAGTAATTGAGAATGGCAACCCTGCAAGGATCGAACACGCAGACTGCACAGATTTGCCACGTGCTAATGTAGTTTTCTATCAAGTGGTTCAAAGGGCCCCTTTTAACCACTTTGCAAAATGAACAGTAGATAATGTAAAAACTGGGAAGTAAAGCCATTAGATGCTTGCCATCCGCTGCAAAAGAAATGCGAAATGTAAAATGTCCTAACTTTTTTGGTCGACAGGAAATAAAATCTCTATGGAGTTACTGTATAGCAACTGGTCACTTTTCCCAATTTCTTTTACATAGTAAACCTATTCTTGTACTAATACTGTTTACTCAGATTACTTTTAACAACTTACTTTTGCACTGAAACTGAATGCTACCCTGGGTCCATTTACCGTCCCGGCAGGTTTTAACGTGTGTCTGTTCAGAGCCAGTGGACACAAAACCAGAGGCACAGCTGTACGTGAACGCGTCTCCCTCAGTGGGAACGCTTTTTCCGATTTGGGGACTTATTGTGGTATCAGGAATGGATGGTGGCGTAGGACACGCTCCTGAAATATTGATTTACGGGTGAACGAGGAAGTATTATGATCTACGATGGCTATTTATACTTGAGACGTCAGACACAGGTGGTCGTAAGGTACACTCTACAAATTGGCATTGTCACAGAAGACAACTTTGGAGTTGAATAGGGACCTTGGTTCAAGTATCCTCCAATATTTTCTGCTGTAATGTATCAAATATGTATCAAAACCACAAAATGATATCATGTGTTTTAACTTGACTTTATAAATGGCGCCGATTCAAATTAAATCTGTTATGGGGACCAACACAAGTTAGGAATTACATAAACAAAGTAATTATATGAATAATAATATAAAGTCGTATCGATAAAAGCACCTACTTTTACAAGTCTTATTCGAAGGGTTGACCCAAAAGCCGTCAGTACACATAACGTTGATGGGGTTGGAAGGTTCGTAGCCCTTCGAACATTTGTAGTTCACGGAGTCCCCGCTGCTGTAGATTGCCGATGCATTTTCAACCATTTGGGCGAACTGGTAAAGTGGTGGCTGCGGGCAAATCTCTGAAATAAGCCACAATCATTCCAACATTTAACCGTCTCATAGTGACAATAAGCTAGCAATTTGAAAATAAGTGAGTCTGCGAACAATGTGTTTACAACCAATTAAGGAATGGCAATTAAATCATATACTGAATACAAAGGTAAAGATGGCATGGTCTCCGTATTATCTCTCATAAGCTTCCTCGGGTTATTAATCAAAACATACACTTTGTTTAGTTTGGTGATAACTTACTCGTGCACTTAATGCCTTTGCCGTCCCATTTTTCAGAAACACAGGTCAAGGTTCTTAAGCCGTCTTTGTTGATATACCCTTTATTACACACGTACACTGCTTGGTCGCCTTCTACGTATGTTTTATTGTTTACTAAAGTGGCATGGATGAAAGTAGGGGGTTCTGGGCATCTTTCTGAAAGTCAAAGCTTATAATACATTTTGGACACATAAAATTGTACTTAAAAAGTGTCTTGGGTAGAGTCACTACAATACGCATATATTAACTCCAATATTTCTGAGAGATAACGTAATAAGATTGAAGAAAAATTAATTTATTCTTATTACATAACACAGCCAATGAAATTCTTCTCTGACTTAAATACACAACATGTTCAACCACAACTTGCAATTTAAGGCCTCATTCACAACACCGGACTAGCTTGTCCACGGATTGAATATTGCCACCTACTTAAAATCTTGCCGCGTAAACCCGTAATAGACACTGAATACACCCCCCTCGAGGATTACGCAACACGATTTCATGTGGGTCGGCCATATTTGTTGTGAACGAAGCTTAAGTGCTAAATACTGGATTTAGTGTGACTTTTGCGCGACTTTTGGGTATTCGTACCAGAACATTTGGTGCCGCTGTGCACCCACGCTCCATCTGAACACAGTAACATTGCCGTTGTCCCGGGCTGGTATTCACACATGTATTTGACGGTATCTCCTTCTTTGAAAAGTGTAGATTTTGTCAAGAATCTTAACTTGGAGAGCTTCCTGGGGTCGCTACAAGTCTCTAAAATAGCAATATGGTGATCACCCTTAGCAAAATAAAACGTTTGCAGCAATACTGAAGTTTGCAAGAAACATTTTTTGCTGCTAATTTGCAGCCATATTGCAGCAAATTTGGAGCAGCCCTGATATTTTGCAAGGGCAGTCATAATTTAACCTACGTTAAGTTTCAAGAGGGAGTACTTTCCGGTGCACCAAATCCAAAGTACTGACCATGTATTTTTAAAACTTACATGAAGTTACGAAGGTTAATCTATTTGTTAAAACATGAGATAATCTACATGTTTAATCTACATCTAAATGTTTTTGCTATGGAGTTATGAGCCCTTAATTTTTTATTAAAAAGGGCATTCTTTTGCTTTATCAACGATAAAATCTGAACTAAGGCTTTTACGAAAAATCGCTGGCATTGTTTTGGAGTACTAAATGGTGCCATTAAATCGGCGTTGAAAGGGTGATGGTGGGTGCACAGGTAAAAGAGAAATTTAAGAAACCGATTTTTCAGTTTTATAGCAAAATCGCAATTGTGACTTCACCCGTAAGATGACACATGTATAAATGTTCATTAATTTAGTCATAGAACACTAAAGATATATCTGTTACCCAAAAGAATGTAAGTAAGGCAGCAAATAAGATTTTTTTGCGGAGGGTGACGATATCCTTAAAAAGATAAGGTATTTATTCCCCAGTCTTACAAAATGAATTATGGTCAAAATTAATGTCAACCCACGTCACTAGAAGAGGCGACCAACTGCAAGTTAATGGTGAGGGTATCAATAATGAAAGGTCCAAACTTACGTAGACATACGATGTCAGTCCCCTTCCAAGCACCGTTTGTACAGGTCCTGATAGCAGATCCGCCATTTTGGGCATATCCAGTTTTACACGAATAAGTCACTGTGTCGTCTTGGAAGATATAAGCAGCGCTGAGAGGTGCTCCAGAAACAACGGAGTTGGCTACCGTAGGAGGTTTTTGACAAATTTCTGAGAAAATTAAGAAAAGGAATTTAAGAAGAGGAATTGTCATATGACAAATAGATACTACTTAAGAGAAGGAGATATCATATGACACTATGACATAAACACACACACACACACACACACGTTACCCGATTGGTGTAATTAGATTTTACCAACATGGCCATATACATGCATATAAACCTATACACATTTAAGTTAGTACCTTGAAACGAGATATAAAACACTGGCAGTAAAACAAAGTAAAGAGGAATTTTATTTAAGTTATTTAATTATGATGAAACGTTCAAACTTACGCTGACATACGATGTCCTTTCCCTTCCAAGCACCGTTGGTACAAGTCCTGACAGCTGATCCGCCATTTTGGGCATATCCAGTTTTACACGAATAAGTCACTGTGTCGTCTTGGAAGATATTAGCAGCGCTGAGAGGTGCTCCAGAAACAACAGCATTGGCTACCGTAGGAGGTTTTTGACAAATTTCTGTGAAATTAAGAAAAGGAATTTTAGAAGAGGAATTAACATATGACAAATAAATACTGCTTAAGAAGAGGAAATATCATACGACATATATATATACTAAAATATTTTACCCGATTGGTGTTATAAGATTTTACTAACATGGCCATATACATGCATAAAGACCTATACACAATTAAGTTAGTACCTTGAAACGAGATATAAAACACTGCCAGTAAAACCAAGTAAAGAGGAATTTTATTTAAGTTATTTAATTATGATGAAAGGTTCAAACTTACGCTGACATACGATGTCCTTTCCCTTCCAAGCACCGTTAGTACAGGTCCTGACAGCTGATCCGCCATTTTGGGCATATCCAGTTTTACACGAATAAGTCAATGTGTCGTCTTGGAAGATATTAGCTGCGCTGAGAGGTGCTCCAGAAACAACGGCATTGGCTACCGTGGGAGGTTTTTGACAAATTTCTGTGAAATCAAAATGTATTTTTTCGACATAGGAACGTATGAAATGTATACGTGAAGGACATGAAATAGTTAAAAAACAGAATGAAAGACGCACAGAGGAACAAAAATGTAAATTGACATGTACAATAATACAAAAAGTGAAACAACAATAAATATTTCAATTTGGGTGTTGACTTTCAATTCTTTCGTCATTATTGAGTTGTATACACAATTGAAATAAAAGCGAGGTATATAAAACTGTATTATTATGTCAATATGGCTGTAAAAACCTGGTAAAGAGGGACTACCGAAATCATTTATCGATGATGCAAGGTCCAAACTCACGCTGACATACGATGTCACTCCCCTTCCAAGCACCGTTAGAACAGGTCCTGACAGCAGATCCGCCATTTTGGGCATATCCAGTTTTACACCAATAAGTCACTTTGTCATGTTGGAAGATATTAGCAGCAGTGAGAGGTGCTCCAGAAACAACAGCGTTGGCTACCGTAGGAGGTTTTTGACAAATTTCTGTGATATACAAGAATGGATTATATATATATCACCCAACTAATATGGCTTTCAATTTCTTACCCTTAGCAAAATATCAGGCCTGCTGCAAATTCGCAGCAAATTTGCAGCAAATTGCTGCAAACTGCAATAACTTCTTACAAATGAGCAGCAAGAAAATTTTTCTTGCAAATTAGCTGCAAACTCGTTGCTGCAAACTTTTAGTTTTGATATGGGTGGTTGTATTCACATGCTTCAGCCTTCATTAATTTATATACACAATTAAGTATTTTGAAAACGAGATATATACTTCTGTATTATGATGTCCATATGTTAGTTAAAACAATGTAGAGAGGAATTAACGGTACCATTTGATAATAATGCAAGGTCCAACTTACGCTGACATACGATGTCACTCCCCTTCCAAGCACCATTTGTACAGGTCCTGACAGCAGATCCGCCTTTTGGGGCATATCCAGTTTTACACGAATAAGTCACTGTGTCGTCTTGGAAGATATTAGCAGCGCTGAGAGGTGCTCCAGAAACAATGGCATTGGCTACCGTGGGAGGTTTTTGACAAATTTCTGTGAAATTAAGAAAAGGAATTTTAGAAGAGGAATTATCATATGACAAATAAATACTGCTTAAGAAGAGGAAATGTCATACGACATATACATAGTAAAATATTTTACCCGATTGATGTTATTAGATTTTTCTGACATGGCCATATACATGCATAAAGACCCAAACACATTTAAGTTAGTAGTTTAAAACGAAATGTAAAGCACTGGCAGTAAAACAAAGTAAAGAGGAATTTACGAAGTTATTTAACGATGACGAGAGGTCCAAACTCACGCTGACATACGATGTCACTCCCCTTCCAAGCACCGTTTGTACAGGTCCTGACAGCTGATCCGCCATTTTGGGCATATCCAGTTTTACACGTATAAGTCACTGTGTCGTCTTGGAAGATATTAGCAGCGGTGAGTGGTGCTCCAGAAACAACGGCATTGGCTACCGTGGGAGGTTTTTGACAAATTCCTGTGAAATTGAGAGGAGGAATTATCATATAACAAATATATACTAAAATACCTCATCCAATCGGTATTATTAGCTTTTATTAACTTGGCTTTCATATTTGGACCCGTATTTTACCTCAGTCAAGGAGCTCCTCTGTTTGTCTGTTCGTCTGTCATCAGCTTAGCTCAAGATATTAAGGATACATTTTTTATGAAATTTCAGGATACGTCGCAAAAAGTATCAGTTAAATTAATATTTCAGTTTTGGTGCTGATCCGTAACCGGGTAAATCACATGCATCCAAGATGTTTTAAAGGATTCTTCACCACTGCGTGACAGAACCAATGACTTTGTACAGTGGAAGTGCTCTCAACTACCACAATTTATCACTTCAAGGTGCTCTGCAGAGGTCTGCGTCCTTTGAGTGATTTCCTAGTAATTCTTTATTGATAAATTGTTCTAGTAATTCTTTATTGATAAATTGTTCTAGTAATTCTTTATTGATAAATTGCACACACGTTAGAAAGTTTAAAACGATATATAGTATACCACTGGTAGTAAAGTAAAGTAAAGAGAAAATGAGTGAATGTTTAAAGTAAAGATAATCTGTATTAATAAAAGGTTCTTACGCTGACATACGATGTCCTTTCCCTCCCAAGCACCGTTAGTACAGGTCCTGACAGCAGATCCGCCATTTGGGGCATATCCAGTTTTACAAGAATAAGTCACTGTGTCGTCTTGGAAGATATTAGCAGCGGTGAGAGGTGTTCCAGAAACAACGGCGTTGGCTACCGTAGGGGGTTTTTGACAAATTTCTGTGGAATACAAGAATGGATTATATATATCTGACCCAACTGATGGCTTTCAATATCTTTTCCTTAGCAAAATTGCTCAATTGCTGCAAATTGCAATAACTTCTTGCAAATTAGCAGAAATATGGCTGCAAATTAGCAGCAAAAAAATTTTTCTTGCAAACTCCTGCAAACTCGTTAATGCAAACTTTTAGTTTTGATATGGGTGGTTGTATTCACATGCTTCAGCCTTCATTAATTTGTATACACAATTAAGTATTTTGAAATCGAGATATATACTACAGTTTTATGATGCTTATAATTATGTCATTTAAAGCAATGTAGAGAGGAATTAACGGTACAATTTGATAATAATGCAAGGTCCAACTTACGTAGACATACGATGTCACTCCCCTTCCAAGCACCATTTGTACAGGTCCTGATAGCAGATCCGCCATTTTGGGCATATCCAGTTTTACACGAATAAGTCACTGTGTCGTCTTGGAAGATATTAGCAGCGGTGAGAGGTGCTCCAGAAACAACGGCATTGGCTACCGTGGGAGGTTTTTGACAAATTTCTGTGAAATTAAGAAGACAAATTTAAGAATATTAATTATCATTAACCTTCTAATCCAGCATATCAAATCCACAAAACCGCCAGGATTGTTTCAGATATCCCATGTTCTTAATCTGTGTTACCTTTACATCAAAAATACCTACGCTGACAATTGATAGGCATGTAGCCTATCCAGGCGCCGTCTCTGCAGTAATAAGCACCGCGGTAGCGGTAATACCTGGAGGGTTCAGCTTTGTCAACAAAGCCACTCTTACACTGATATCGTAGCACGGAACCATGAGCAGACGACAACGTGCTTGACGTTTCAGCATTCGCCACTACGGGTGGAGGTCCACAGGGACCTACAATAGAAAAACGTTCGTTCTGGACTCATAAATTCCTTATATTCAGGAAACATTTTATGCTGCTATTTTCATGATGTTGAAATCAATGAAATGAAATTTAATTTTAATGAAATATGTTTGATGAATCTGCCGGTAGTGACATTTTTCTAAAAGACCCAACAGTCTGCTTTGTTTGAAGCGAATAAGGATTGTCAGGTTGAAATTGAATTTGGGAGAAATATATTTTAAAATTAATATTATAGTGGATGTCAGCCCTGACCTTTGGAACAGGGAAAAGTATTGGAGTATTTATGTAATACTTTTCATCAATATTTCGTCTATTTTATTTCTTCATTAATTTGTATACACAATTAAGTATTTTGAAAACAAGATATATACTACAGTTTTATTATGCCCATATGTTATTTAATGCAATGTAGAGAGGAATTAACGGTACAATTTGATAATAATGCAAGGTCCAACTTACGTAGACATACGATGTCACTCCCCTTCCAAGCACCATTTGTACAGGTCCTGATAGCAGATCCGCCATTTTGGGCATATCCAGTTTTACACGAATAAGTCACAGTGTCGTCTTGGAAGATATTAGCTGCGCTGAGAGGTGCTCCAGAAACAACGGCATTGGCTAACGTGGGGGGTTTTTGACAAATTTCTGTGAAATTAAGAAGACAAATTTAAGAATATTAATTATCATTAACCTTCTAATCCAGCATATCAAATCCACAAAACCGCCAGGATTGTTTCAGATATCCCATGTTCTTAATCTGTATCATCTTAACATCAAAAATACCTACGCTGACAATTGATAGGCATGTAGCTTATCCAGGCGCCGTCTCTGCAGTAATAAGCACCGCGGTGCTTGTAGCGGTAAAACCTGGAGGATTCAGCTTTGTCAGCAAAGCCACTCTTACACTGATATCGTAGCACGGAACCATGAGCAGACGACAACGTGCTTGACGTTTCAGCATTCGCCACTACGGGTGGTGGTCCACAGTGATCTACAATAGAAAAACGTCCGTTCTGGATTCATAAATTCCTTATATTCTGGAAACATTTTATGCTGCTATTTTCATGATGTTGAAATCAATGAAATGAAATTTAATTTTAATGAAATATGTTTGATGAATCTGTCGGTAGTGACATTTTTCTAAAAGACCCAACAGTCTGCTTTGTTTGAAGCGAATAAGGATTGTCAGGTTGAAATTGAATTTGGGAGAAATATATTTTAAGATTAATATTATGGTGGAAGGCAGCCCTGACCCTTGGAACAGGGAAAAGTATTGAAGTATTTATGAAATACTTTTCATCAATATTTCGTCTATTTTACCATCCTTGGTAAAGGTAAGCCGCGCCCTCTACAGCGCGTCAACGCTTATCTTTCAAACGTATTTTATGATTAATAAACGTTTGTAGTTTTGATTATTCTGAAGGAGGCTGAGAAGATGACATCATTACTAGGTACGCTTCGGATAAACTTTTATCTAAAGAGTTTTTTATCTTTAGAGTCTAAATTGGGAATGTAAAAAAAATTACAAGACATAAATATATGAATGTGAGGGGACTTGGAACGCGTGGAGACAACTTCTAAAATTCAGTTTGGCGGGGAAATCCCGTGGAGTAGCGCTATAAGTGACGGAAGCAATATCAACAAATTGTTTATTGTGCCACAGCAATAACAAAATATTTTACCTTTATTGCTGCATTCTGCCTTTGTGGAACTTGGTACTGTAAGAAAAGAAAGCAATGGTATAACTTGCTATTTCCGACTCAAAACTAAAAAACGAGGAAATGTTTGACTTCTCAGTGAATTGTTACACACACACACACACACACGCACGTGGTTTTTCGATTTTCGTATTAGAAATGTAAATGTTCAAATGTTGCACAGCATTATCAATAAATATTAACAGGAATAACCTCCTTATTTAATTTTTGTAAGCCAACACATTAAACCCCATAAGAAACATGCTTTAAGTGTAATATACTGTATAGCGGTGGATAAAGGGGCAACGGATTATAATTTTATCAACTTACACATGCCATATGGTTGGGGTCTAGACATGTATGATAAGAGAAAGGGATTAAGAGAAGCTTGTATGTGTACAGACAGGAAATAAGTTGGTGGTTAGGAGCTTCTTCTAATAGATAACAGGAACATCAAAAATACACAAGTATTTTATTCCGGCGATTATAACCAATCACAAAAAAACTTACAAATAAATAAATAATAATGAATCGAAACGTATATGTACCTGACACGCTTACTTAAAGTGGTACTAAACAAGATTCCATCGAATTGTCAGGTGTTATTTTCGAGTTAGCTCAGTTCAGGACGTTTTTTTCACCCAAACATATCTTAACACACTTATCAAAACTTGCTATGTCATAAATGCCCACAAACTAAAGCCATATACCTACCACAACATGTTTTAGAACTGTCCACACAAACGGACTCATTCAATGCGACGTAACCTTTCTGTGTGCAGTATTTATCCACGTATTTCGAGCTCAGGCAATTTCCTCCGCAGTATCCTTTACAGGGTCCTTCGTCTTTTGAGTTGGTTATAAAAAAACAACAACTTAAGTAACTCCTTAACGTACGATCGACAACATTCAAGAAGACAAATTCAAGTTGCAAGAACTGGACATACATGACAATGGCTTAAAAAGTACAAGCATTATTGTCAAATACTGAGAAAGATGGCCACTCGCAATCACATTCGAAGTTGTTTTAAATTTTGTATATATCTTCTGATATTATCAATTAAACTAACAGTGATAATCAACTGTTGTTTCAGAGACGCGTGCACTTCAGAAAGTTCGCTTCAGGCAACCCTGCATTTTCTAGATGACTGTTCAAAACTGCTACATGTAAGGAGACATATCAGTAATTACCCAGCAAACACATAACGTTATTATAACGTTACCATATCGTTAATTTTACCCCCAAAAAACGTTATGGTAACGTTATAAAACGTTCTGTGTTTGCAGAGTAACGGCCTGCATTTACCTTTGTCGACACAACAGACGCCGGTTATGCACCCTCCGATACCATGAAGCTCTACCTTTCCTCTACCACAGGAGCTGCTGCATGTACCGGACACCTGGTGGCACGTCACCGTACTCCACTTCGCTGATAAAGTCTTCTCTGCCGGGGTGCCTTTGGTGCCTTTGGTAGTCGGTTTATAGGGAGCGATCGTTGACTTACTGCCTTTTGTCTTGCGACAGGATGCTGAAAATATGATACACAAAAGTTTTGAAATTATTTATTACTTCATATATTTATATTTAATGTTAAATTCTTTATTCACAATCGTTTCTCCACACACTCTGTGTTTCTAATAGAGAAATAAACGAAACCGAGATGAAAAGAATCCAGTTTAGATAGTTGGCTGCTTTTTCATAAAGCTTGTTTTAGAAAATAGTTGGCTACCCAACCGTTACTTTGGCTTCTTAACGCATACTGAAAGGTTTTCACGAAAATATCGATGGGGTAGTTTTCACATTTTTAGTTAAATAAAAAACTTAAATGCGTTTACATTTCATTTTCAAGAGGTCTGACAGTGATCAATATCCGATATATATGTAATATATATATTAGTTGAATGAACTGTCATATTAGATAAACCATTGACAGATAAAAAAATTATTTATTTATTAAACTAAATTTATTGAGGGTAAAAACATGGTAAATATCAAATTCAACTTGGCCATCAAAGTACATTATGGATAAAACATTGAAAACACTCTTGCCAGTCTCTCTCTCTCTCTCTCAATATATTTACCGAAGTTTACCAGCAGAAGAACACCACACGCGTACAGCGCTGTTCGTACAAGACCGCCCATCGCTTTCCTCGGTCAGTTCCCTGGTAATAACAATAAAAAAAAACAATAACCGTATGGCCATCCAACGACGTGGACAATTTCATAAAAACCTCAGTATTTCACGTGATCATAGAGTTCGCTTTCTTGGGGATGGCAATATTAACACTGTTTTTGGCGATGAAAAGTAAAAGGGGATAGTTTCAGCGGAAACACTAAATTATCGTTAATATAAAGAAGTATGCATTTGTGAGAAATTCATTGTCATTTTAAAATGTCTCGCTGTAGTGGCAGCATCAGACTTCCTTGAAATTTTCAGCTCGCCAAACTGTGCAGAATAACATCAAGAGCATTATCTGTACTCAGTTTCCAAGAGTATCGGTAATGAAATGGCAGACAGATTCACTAACCTGTGTGTTTCAGCTACAAATGGAGACAGACAGAGACGTGCATAGCTGGACACTCAGGAAAATACACAGCTGTGGACTCTTATCAATAATTTGTGATTGTCACGAACATTTGAGGCCACATTATCAATTTACAGAGACAGGAAATGCTGCGTTATTTAAAATAATCGTTGAAAGATAGTTGAATAGAGATGCCAATATTTGTCTTGTAATATGACATTTGATAAACCGATCAGTAAAAAGCTCACCATTAAATTTTAAAGGGTAAACACGTGGCGATCTTCCGAAAAAGCTAACTTACAATTTTAAAGGGTAAACATGGTGCGATCATCCGCAAAAGCTAACTTACAATTTTTAAAGGGTAAACATGTGGCGATCACCGGATTCAACCTGTCCACCTACCTTTTTGGTCGTTGTCTGAGTTCTCTATTAAATTTGTGTGGAGGTTTTGCGAGGAAGCCCCGGCACTGCCTTGTGAAACGCACCTCTTATCCACTCCAGCGAAAGTGATGAACCCAAATTGTCGACAAGTTGTGGAACCGCCTTGGATATATTTACTCAAGTATCTTAGTCTCCAGGTTATCGAATTATGAAACATATTGATACAAAACAGCAATATATTAATCATGACCAAATTGTTTGTCTTTGACAAGATAGGTTCTTTGCTGGGACATTGTTTTCCCACAGCCAGGGTACACGGCAATGTACTGGGGACTAGTATCGAGACTGGAGATCAAGGAATGGCTGGAAGGGACTGTCTTTGACCTTCAGCGCTGCCGAGTTCCACGTAGACCCTCGTTTGTCTGTGTGTGTGTGTGTGTGTGTGTGTGTGTGTGTAGGGGGGAGGGGTTGGAGGGGGGCAAAACTGATATTTGTTGTCCCAGAGAAGCACTGAAGCCGTCCTGATGGAAATTTCCAGTGTTGGAAAAATGCTCTGTTTTTTTTTTTTTTTTTTTTTTTTTTTTCTTAAGGGGGGGGATGTGTTAGTTTGAAAACAGTAGCTTTCCTTCTCTGGTGTCAAAGATCTGTCTCACGTGCATACGACACGTGGAAAGTCTTTGTAATAACGTAACAAGTAATATTTCGTTAAATGTTCAGTAAAATGTACAGTATGGGCATATACCTATGTGCCAGTGCTTCTATGTACCGGTACTACCTTCTTTACCGTTTGCAGAAATCAGCTCGTCAACACGACCAAAATTGCACAGGCAAAAACTGCATTAAGAATTTCAAATATATTAACCTGCACACGTGCCTGCAAACAGATACGACCAGGCACGTTGCCGAGGGTGTGGGGTGGGGTTCGGGGTGGGGGGTTGAAAGAACCCCTTTTTTGCTGGGAAAAGATTTACTCTGCGTAAATATGATCGAGGTAAACAAAGGATTCATGACAAAAGGTCCACGTTTTCAGAAAAATGCCCCCCCCCCTTTTTGCAATTGCTGGCTAGGGGCCTGTACGACTGCCACCAAAGGGCACTATTTAAAATGTGTCGCCACTGTTTGATACAGAAAGTGTTGACCATAATAAGGCCAAGTACGTTACGGTTACCATGCTGGAGAAATATGTCCGGATATGATGCCTTCTAAATTACGTTTCTTTATCTCTTTGCGATAAAAATAAACCTGCCACATATAAACTCATCTCAAAACTTTCCACTCCTTGACGAACTCGCTCTTTTTTATCTCTATTTTTATAATTTTACCGACTGTACCGTGTGAATGTTAAGTTGTATTACTTTGTTTCAAATATATTAAACTAATACATACACACACTGTTTTCATATAGAGCAGCACATCCAACTGGACTGGTACACTTGGAGAAATTGACAAGAGAATCATCTAAACGGCGCCCAGAGAAAAAATTTAACTTGACGAAAGAGGTGGATGTGAACTTGTGAAAAGGAGAAATATAGATCTAATCCTGTAACGCAAGAGCGTGAGGACATCTTTAAGTTATATGATGTTATAAGCGCTACAAAATGTGCTTGATTTCCTAAATGCAAAACTTAATCGAACTTTCAATGACAACACAATAAAAATCAGAAGATACATTTTAATAAAATAAATATCTTGAAACAATTCATGATAGCAGTACTGAGTAAATATTTAGTTATATACAATATCAACATTGTACTTCGACTTTAAAACATATATGCATTGAAAATTTTTGTTAAAGCTTAAAGGGATAATAACTCTTCGTGTGAGGTCTATATTTCACAATAAAAAGATTGTGAATAACTCATAGAAATATATATTGTTTTACAACAAAAACAGCAGTTAAAGCTATTATTCTGATATCTGAGCTTGTCGTCAGACCACGTGACCTCCATTGATGGCTATACTGTGTTATGATATCTTAAGAGATTTTAACAAAAAACCAAACTTTTTAGAAAAAAAAGTCACTTACTTTGAATGTAAAAATGGATTCATTAACCATTGGTAAGTATGGGAAAATTGTTGTTTACTCCAGGAAAATTAATTTTTTGGCCAAAACGAAGAGTTATTATCCCTTTAATAACATGATGCAACATTTTGAAAAATTAATAAATGAAAAATTAGTCTTTCATACTTCTTCGTAAGGCTGGATTAAAAAAAATCATGATTGGATTTTATTACCTATGGTAGAGGTGTTTCTTTACTGTAAACAACTTTCAATTTTTATTGATGTAGGTACTCAGAATCTTCTCATAATTGTCCAGCTCCATTACGCACGAACATAAAATTCCTGTTCATCACAACAGGGAACTAATATGTGGACAGTAAATTCTTATTTCTGTGAATTTTTAATCTTCAAAGCTAGCGCTTTTTAAATTACTTTTTTTTCTGTGAATTTTTAACCTTCATGACAAGCATTTTTTAAAAAGTCTTCTATGTCAGGCACTGTGGAAGTCAGCAGCTCCTTCCTGTGTTGAGGCAATACAGAGTACAGTTCTACACCTTCAAGTGACTCTTTGTTGGCCATCTTGTAAAACAGAAGATGCTTTTTTAAATCCTGAAAGAGAAATTTGTTAAAGTTGGTCAAAAAAATTTAATTTGCTGAGCACTTTATAACAAATGCCACATAAAGAACAAGTTAACAACAGCAGCTTTGTTATTATTCTACGGATATTTCATCCATTCAAAATATTTTTATCACATCATTTATACACCCTTCTGCATGTAAATAAGATACACTTATACAAATTAACACATTTAAATGAAAAAAAAAAACAAATTTTCAAAATAACCACAAACACTGTCTTACCTCATTTGTGGTCTTACAAATCTGCTGAATCATCAGTTTTTTCATCTTCATATGTTGACCCTGGAGGTATATAAACCTGTTCACGTGGTGCAGTGCTATGGTATACAGTACTGGGTTTCTACTAGGAGTCACACTACTACTGAGGAGAGACTGAAGGTAGAATCTCAGTAGCTCCAAGTTGGTTTCCTCTGGCTCTAGAAAGTTCTGCAACTGTATGGGAAGCTGCAGATAAAGAAAGAGAATATATTAAAGCATTATTACTGATATTTCATGCAAACAGATGGTTTGCAACAATCATCTTTGATCAATAAGGAAATATTTTGACTCTCTATCCCCCCCCTCCCCTGCACATGCACATGCACGCACACACCTCTATGTCACAAAACCACAAGAAATAATAAAACAACAAATTTTACCAAGTAACAAATCCCTGGCCATATCACTACAAAAATCACCTCTGACAAAGTTACAGTACTAAGCCCAAGACTGACACATACCAACCTCTGAACGGGTCAGTGTCAGCAGCCTTAAGACACACACGCATACACACTTATCTGCCAACATCACTTTAATCAGCTTGAGAACACTGGTCAGTGAGTCCCCCCCCCCAAACACACAAACAGTTACTGACCTGTGACCAGGTCACTGTGACCAGCCTGAGGACTGTGACATGCTCTCCCCACACCGCCTTCCTATACCGTACACTGTGTCTCTGAGCCATGGGAAGCAGCAGATAGCTGGCAAACAGTGGGTCACCAAATGACACTGCCTCATACTGCTCCACAAGGGAAACAAAGCTGGAATATAGAACTGCTTTTATTACAGTGTCTTCATCATGAGTAAAAGTGTTTCTCTATTTCACCAGATAAGTAATTTTCTTATATATTAATAATTTGAAACAATAAAACCATAAGACTGTTGTTATGAAATTAAACAGGCTTATTACCAAGGATACAGATCTGCTAATACCATTCATTTTCAGAGAGAACAGAGAAAAAAATGCTTTTAACAAATTATCTTAATGTAATAATCAGATAACTATGTGTATCCATGCAATAAAATCAACTGGCTGAGGTAAAATGCAATCCATCAAAAGAATCAATATGATGGATGACTTATTATCTAAAACAGAGAGAGAGAGGGAGAGGTGGGGAGGGAGAGACTCACAGGTCATAGAAAGACGCAAGGCCTGGTATCTTCTCATTAAAATCCACAGTTTCCATAATATTTGCCTGACAATACATCTTCATTAGAGCTGCCAACAAACAGTGGACTGGCCCTTCTAAAAACAAGTCACTGCCTGGAAATGAAAAAATAAAATAAATAAAAATAAAAAATATAAAAAACTGCACTAATGGGTCCAATCCCATGGGGTATTACACTTGGGCAATTATTCTTATATCTGTGTTGAAATTAATTGTTTAATAAACACAGCAGGGTCAATGCAGTTTTCCTAGATCAGTCTTTACAAATTGGAATATCATGTGCAAAGTTTTAGATTGTGCTATATATCTTTGCTTTAGCTATCTATTCCATACACAGCTTAGGCTTGCAGAAACAGAATTAATATACATCACAAAGCATATTCAATAGGGACATCACTCCAGTCATGTAACAGTTCTCTACAGTCACATGGGAGAGAAGTCTATTCACATGGAAATCTGATCACTGCCATTGCTTGTTACACTGTTTAATCAGCAACACACCATATACATTATACCATTAGTAACGGGATGAGCTTTACATTAGTCAATTACAGCAAATGACGTCAAGTGTCTCTTGTGGTTTCACCAATTCAGAGGTCTGTATTCAAAGGAACAATCAAGCCTTCTTGGTTAAGAGTCAAGTCTAATATATTTGAATACAGGCCAATCATAGATATTTGAAATAAATAATTTAACAAAAATTCATGATAATGAATAAGTTAATCAAATCTAAACAAACAAACAAACAAACAAACAAACAAACAAACAAAAAATGAATGAAAGAACAAATAAATAAATAAAAAAATGAAGAGATTTCAATAACATAATTAAATAAATAAATAAATACATAAATACTACACGTTCAAAAAGGTCTGAAATCCTTTCAATATAACCAATTTCCTTTTAAGGAAATTCATCAAACGTTGCAGATCCTCACCAATGAGAAAGGTGCACATGACTCGGCTAATCCTGGTAGCGGCAGAGATGTCCCTGGTGAGCTGATGTCTACGGTGCTCTAAAAGGTAGACCCACTGGAGGCAGTTGGACACTGTGGACACGTGCTTGGCTGGCAACTTTTCAACAGATTCTCCAGCTGCCTCTCTGGAATATAACATTAAGGTTCATAAAATTTTGGGCTGCAGTGCATTTTTTCACCATTTTCCAGACTCACTTTCTGCCTCTAGAAAAAAAATCAATTATAAACTTACAATCATTGGGTGTAGGACATTTTTTTTCACTGTTAGTATTTGCCATATGAACATGGAAAGGTCGTTGGTAGTTTTTGGTTAAAGAGAAAAGAGCATACTTAGTAAATTGTTGTGTAAAAAAAACTTGCCATCGGACAAATGCACCAGTATTGGCAGTGCACCAGCACACTGCTTAATACGTATCCCGACTTAAACCGAATGTTTAAAGATAAAATTAATCATCAATGAGGAAGAAAAGGCCAGGATGGCATTTATAATCCAAAGAGATCACAGACAAACAGTGATCATGTGCCACCAGATCACAAATACTAAAACATTAACAGAATAAATTATTAAATAATTAATTAAATAAACTAACAGATCACAAGCAGACAGACATAGAGAACTAAATCCTTTTCTCATTCAGTAGCAAAACAAGATACAATCTTAAACTTTTTTGCTTATGAATCACACACACACTCATATGCTAACATACTTGCACTGTTTCTCTAGGTAAAAAAAAAAATCGTACAATTACAGTAGTGCAAATAAGGGTAGAAATAGAGATTGAAAATTTATGTTGTTAAGAGGTATATCCTTTGATTAGAGGCATAAATCTATTAACAGCAGTAAANGCTCTCCCCACACCGCCTTCCTATACCGTACACTGTGTCTCTGAGCCATTGGAAGCAGCAGATAGCTGGCAAACAGTGGGTCGCCAAATGACACTGCCTCATACTGCTCCACAAGGGAAACAAAGCTGGAATATAGAACTGCTTTTATTACAGTGTCTTCATCATGAGTAAAAGTGTATCTCTATTTCACCAGATACATAATTTTCTTATATATTAATAATTTGAAACAATAAATCCATAAGAATGTTGTTATGAAATTAAACAGGCTTATTACCAAGGATACAGATCTGCTAATACCATTCATTTTCAGAGAGAATAGAGAAAAAATTGCTTTTAACAAATTATCTTAATGTAATAATCAGATAACTATGTGTATCCATGCAATAAAATCAACTGGCTGAGGTAAAATGCAATCCATCAAAAGAATCAATATGATGGATGACTTATTATCTAAACAGAGAGAGAGAGGGAGAGGGGGGGGGGGGGAGGGAGAGACTCACAGGTCATAGAAAGACGCAAGGCCTGGTATCTTCTCATCAAAATCCACAGTTTCCATAATATTTGCCTGACAATACATCTTCATTAGAGCTGCCAACAAACAGTGGACTGGCCCTTCTAAAAACAAGTCACTGCCTGGAAATGAAAAAATAAAAGAAATAAAAATAAAAAATAAATAAATAAAAAAACTGCACTAATGGGTCCAATCCCATGGGGTATTACACTCGGCCAATTATTCTTATATCTGTGTTGAAATTAATTGTTTAATAAACACAGCAGGGTCAATGCAGTTTTCCTGGACCAGTCTCTACAAACTGGAAAATTATGTGCAAAGTTTGTGGCTAAGTGCTATATGTCTTTGCCTTAGCTATAAATTCCATACACAGCTTAGGTTTGCAGAAACAGAATTAATATACATCACAAAGCATATTCAGTAGGGACATCACTCCAGTCATGTAACAGTTCTCTACAGTCACATGGGAGAGAAGTCTATTCACATGGAAATCTGATCACTGCCATTGCTTGTTACACTGTTTAATCAGCAACACACCATATACATTATACCATTAGTAACGGGATGAGCTTTACATTAGTCAATTACAGCAAATGACGTCAAGTGTCTCTTGTGGTTTCACCAATTCAGAGGTCTGTATTCAAAGGAACAATCAAGCCTTCTTGGTTAAGAGTCAAGTCTAATATATTTGAATACAGGCCAATCATAGATATTTGAAATAAATAATTTAACAAAAATTCATGATAATGAATAAGTAAATCAAATCTAAACAAACAAACAAACAAACAAAAAATGAATGAAAGAACAAATAAATAAATAAAAAATGAAGAGATTTCAATAACATAAATAAATAAATACATAAATACTACACATTCAAAAAGGCCTGAAATCCTTTTAATATAACCAATTTCCTTTAAGGAAATTCATCAAACGGTGCAGATCCTCACCAATGAGAAAGGTGCACATGACTCTGCTGATCCTGGTAGCGGCAGAGATGTCCCTGGTGAGCTGATGTCTACAGTGCTCTAAAAGGTAGACCCACTGGAGGCAGTTGGACACTGTGGACACGTGCTTGGCTGGCAACTTTTCAGCAGATTCCCCTGCTGCCTCTCTGGAATATAACATTAAGATTCATAAAATTTTGGGCTGCAGTGCATTTTTTCAGCATTTTCCAGACTCACTTTCTGCCTCTAGAAAAAAAATCAATTATAAACTTACAATCATTGGGTGTAGGACATTTTTTTCACTGTTAGTATTTGCCATATGAACATGGAAAGGTCGTTGGTAGTTTTTGGTTAAAGAGAGAAGAGCATACTTAGTAAATTGTTGTGTAAAAAAAAAAACTTGCCATAGGACAAATGCACCAGTATTGGCAGTGCACCAGCACACTGCTTAATACGTATCCCGACTTAAACCGAACGTTTAAAGATAAAATTAATCATCAATGAGGAAGAAAAGGCCAGGATGGCATTTACAATCCAAAGAGATCACAGACAAACAGTGATCATGTGCCACCAGATCACAAATACTTAAACATTAACAGAATAAATTATTAAATAATTAATTAAATAAACTAACAGATCACAAGCAGACAGACATAGAGAACTAAATCCTTTTCTCATTCAGTAGCAAAACAAGATACAATCTTACAATTTTTAGCTTATGAATCACACACACACTCATATGCTAACAAACTTGCACTGTTTCTCTAGGTAAAAAAAATCGTACAATTACAGTAGTGCAAATAAGGGTAGAAATAGAGATTGAAAATTTATGTTGTTAAGAGGTATATCCTTTGATTAGAGGCATAAATCTATTAACAGCAGTAAAGCAATGAACCTTAATGTCAAACCCATTACTGAAAACAAATGCTATATATAAGGAATTGAGCATGTAATCTGAATGCCATTGTCCAAACCTGTGAGACCATTGACTTAGACCCCATTTCCATAGATTTTAGATCGATCTATCCCTGTGGGGAGTCTCACTAGATTACTGTCAGCTTAGCCGGTTTAAGCGTCTGTCCCACCTACTAAAAGCTGTAAGGGGGTAATTTACTATGGTGCGTGCTCGATTGACTGCAATTTAGCGTGAATCCCCAGGGAGTTAGGTCGATCTAAATCTTAATCTCTGGGAATACACCCTTAGAACCCCACAAAGACCTCCTGACTGCTGGGTAACCCTGTGCTGACGTTAATTGGTTTCTCTAATTTCCACAGCAAATGAATATGTGCACAGTGACCAGGTGCTGTTTTCATTTTAACAATCAAGTTTCTATGGTAATACAAAGGAAATAATCAATTTCATGTCTAGAATTTGTGTATGATTCCCCTAATAGACACCCTTGGATGTCAAAACTGAATTGTCTTTTGTGGTATCAGTGTCCAGACAATCAGAGGGCATGTAACAGGAAACCTTAACACAGAGATAATTGTCTCCTATAGATCTTTTCATATTATCTTCTTGCTATTGTGACAAAAAGTATCATTGTGTGAGATTCCAGGGGTGTCATATCTAGGTGCGTTCAGACCAGTTCTAAATGAGACAGAAGAAGATACAACTGACCTCACCAAAACACCCGGATCATATTGAGACCCTGTTGAGGACCTCTCCCCATTATGACCTATAATTTAAACCCGCTTGTTCAAGAAACAGCACCACTTGTAACACTGAATGCACTACTAGTAAACCTGGTTTAAGTTAAAATACTTCTAGCCCTCACCAGTTCTGAACGCATCCTTAAACAATAAATAAGACGTCATCAGACAACTGGCAACAGCAGAGTTACCAATCAAGAGAGTGGTACCTATTCAGAGTGACAGTGAACTTGAATAACTCAAGCACTATACTCGGTCTCATACGGTACGTATAAAAAATTCCAAATGATTGATTAGGACACTGATCAATTTACGAAAACAAGTACGGGAAAAATCATTTCTCTGACTACAATTCTGCTAATGGACTAAAATGAATGTCATAGAGAACGCTATATATGTATCATTTTGAAACATGCTCACAGTGTAAAAGCAAACTGGTAGAGAACAGTATATGTACTCACAGTGTAGAAGTGACCTGGTAGAGCACCATCAGGGGGAGGAACATCCAGTCTACAGGAACAACGGGGTTGGTCAGGGGGCCGGTCATTTGAGTGTCCACTTCATGGGCAAGATGGAGTGACCATGATCTAAAACGGCAAAAGAACACCATGATAGCACAGGTATCAGATAAGTATACATATATCATTTGTAAGAACCTATTATGTTGATCATAGTTAACATGGACTGCCAGTAATGTGATTATCAAAACAGTCTTTTTGATATAGGCATTGAAAAAAAAAAAGACGTTTATTTTCAGTTTCTCACAAAAAGGGATTTACTAAATATAAACCAAAAGGTTATTCAAAAAATCATTATCATTTACTGGAAACAAAATATAATTTTGGAAATTGATTAGAAGATTTTTCTAAAATTTTCATCACCATACAGTACATAGAAGTATGTAATTAAGCAAACAGATGCAATTATCACTACCTTGATTTTAGGAGATTTTTAACATCTCTTCCAAAACTCTCCAGGTACGTTGCCCGTATGCTAGGCAGGTTTTTCTGGATATTTTTCATGAGGTCTTTTTCCATTTCTCCACCACTTTCACTGGGCAGTTTCTGTTCATGATGGCCATGAACTGAGCTTTTTAATTTTGTCTCTGAATGGTTTAGACTAAAACAGAAATGAAAAGAAAATCTATAAAAAAAAAAAATGGTTTCTTTATAATCTGAGAAATGTGCGTAGTTGTCTGTCAAATTTCATTAGAGAAACATTTATTAGAGAAGCACCTATAACAACTTTGACATCTAATAGCTCCGGAGGGAAGCAATAATGAAAAAGAGATTGGCAATCATATCTGATCATGCTGATCTTTTAATAATTTGTTTATTCATAATGTTGCACGCAAAACAATTTAGCACTGATGTAGTAAGCTGGTGACATTTTCCAGATGATACAGGTGACCGTTTTCAAATTTCGAGGAAACTACATCAAATGCGAACCAATATAGAATAAAGGTAATGCGAATGTGATCCCTTTAGGATCCATTTTCTTTCTTTTATGGTAATTCTAAGGAGGGGATAAGTAGATAAGATAGTACCCACTGCCTGTGAGGATGAGTGCTAATACTTGTATGAGGTAGAATGGCAATCTTACCAGAGGAAATCAGGGTTGAAGAGTACTGTGGAGAGTATGTCATGGATGTAATGTTCATCCCCGTGTTGAAGGCGAGTTAAAAGGCACAAAGATAACTGGTGGTACTGCTCTGCTTTTACTGCTCCTGTCTGAAATGAAAAAAAATTAGTGATATTATATTTTATAAATAATTTCCTAAATCTCTGTTTTATTTTTTGACTAACCTAATGTGTAAGGTCACATGTCATAATATATTGTGTTGAAGCATATTGCATGTTCATGGTGTATCACTAAATAAAACATTTCTTTTCATACAGAAAAAGGATCTGAAAATGACATTTGCTTTATAAAAATTCTTGGAAACCGAGTTAATGAGAAATCTTTGTGTTATTAATTTTCAACCACTTTTCACATTTGAACAAGGTGAAAATTATCCACACCTATCTACAATTTTCTCATCCATCATACGGTTATCACGTAGAGGATATGCCACTCAGGGCATGTAACTTTCTGTGACAATTTATCTTTTCTCCAGTACTAAAAAAATTGTAAAACAGCACTATCCTGTGGTTATGTGAGGGTTTACATTTAACAAAGCTGATGGCATTTCTAGGGTTCAGAGCATAGCTTACAGAGTCTCTTTCCGCCTGGAGATCAGATCCAAGTTTAATCTTAATTGAGGTGATATGTCATCCAGGTGACACTGCACAAACAGCCATCAATCTAATCCGTAGCGCCTCACTGCTCGTTGTCAGTAAAATAACTTTGTACGACCCATTGACAAGCTTCATGGTGTTCATCAGACGGTGAATGTAAACCAAGGAATTCAATATTCCGTGTATGCTTGTGAGGCAATATTACAGATTAAGTCTATGCATTATTCAGCTAACTAGCTAACACTGGCAGAGATGATATCAAGCGTAACAAGTATATTTGGAGTGGAGTTCACTTGTAAGATCAATATCAGATTTACTGTTCTAATTGTTACAGCAGATAGCAACTGAAGCATCTGACAAATGATCTCATCTATAACTATTACCTGGTGATTTGAAAGAAAACATGGAATCTAAACCAATTGGCCGGGGAAATCATCTGAAGTATCGATTGTGTTGAAATTCAATATTAACATCAGTTTCAGGTCTTTCTATGAAAGCGATAATGATAAGCAGGGTATTAAGTCTGAAAGTGGGAAAATATCATCAGAACTCATTTTGGAGTGTCTAATTGCAATAGGGGATTCAAGCAAAGCAAATCAGTTTCGACAAAATTGGGCTCAGACTAAAGGCGGAGAAACAACAGAGCCCTAGATTGCATCATCCAATAATCCCAGAATTAAGAAGTCAGCAATGAAGAGCAGGCATTGTGATTACAGACGTGTCAATGGGTGAATTGCACTTCACACCTTACATCCTGAAGTAAGGATTTAATAAAGAGTTTGCTTAAACCATGCTGAACCAAATGATATATTAACATTTACTTCTTTAGAGAAGTAAATTAACACATGGCATCAGTGCAAAGAAGTCTATCTATAGACAAGATATGGGGGCTAATACCATGTGTATGTGTTTTAACTCCTTTATGGATTAAAACTACCAAAGGATCTCTTAAAATATATGCACTGATTTTTTTATTTTTTTTCCTTCATTTTCAGACGTAATAACATCTTACCACATGACAAGAGAAGCACCTGAACTGTTTCACAAGTAACCCTGACACCAGCTTCAGTAATCATGAAATATCACCTAATGTACCATGAGGAAATGATGTCACTGTGCTAATGACAGTTATGACATTCTAGGAACCAGAGACATCCACAGTTCAAAGAAACTGGTGTCAAACTTGAGGCAGCTCCCAATGAGTCAACAGCAACTACAGAAAATCCAGTAGAAAGCAGTGACAACTGTACTGAAGTAAAGCAGTGTGTTAGAAATTGTACCAAGAGCCAATTTCAACAATATACTTTGACTTCACGTAAAGAAAAGACCAAACCAAGAACGGTTTACAGATTGAAGAAACAATGTAATTAGTAAGAAAGGTACCTTTTGTCCTGAAGGAAACCCCATCCAGTGGAGCAGTACCATGTGAGTACTGTAATAACATGAGCTTTTTAATGGGGGGAAATTGTGAATTTTACAGATACTATAATTTTAAAGTCATAATATTTAAAAATAAGAGCATTTGTATTGAGTGATAGCAACATAAATGAAAAGCAGGCTACTTTAGTTCTATTCTACACAGAAAAATAAAATCAGAAATGCAACACAAAAGTATATTGTTAATGATTCTAAAACTATGTATTTAGAAAAATTAGCAATTTTTTTCTCAATGAAAAGATCAGGTAATTAATGAACTCTATTTTCAATGTGTTTAACAATTACAGTTAGATGAAACAGCTAGCAAAACAAAACCAAACTTGGAAAGGCACCATTGGGTAAGCCAAAACTAGGAACATCAGAATGTAAAGTGAAAGAGGCAGTAATGATAACTAAACATTATAATAACAATAATGTCAGAAGCAACCAGCAACTCAGTATACCTTGAACAGAGAATAAGAGAAACCATGGTATTCCCATGGTAATGGCCTTTTAAAGGTCAGTGAATCAAAGCCTCACATTGTTTGCCTCTTGTACAAAAGACAGTCACACAGGTACAAACACAATGACTTTTCCAAGTGTCACAAGTGTCATCTTGTCATAGAAAAGTTGCCTTTTATTGCACAGACAGTCATATACTTCTTAACTGGAATTCTGAACAGAATCCCAAGATGACCTTGGTTAGTTTGCACCTTGGCACAGACCAAGGACTGCAGACCAATGTGTCCAATGCTGCCTTGACCAATGACAGCAGTTCTCACCTGAAATCTGACCAGCCGCTCCATGAGAGGATTGTAGTATCTATTGTGATCATCATAATAGCACTGGCAGGGACAATGGGCAATCTCATTACACTGGTGACAATTGCCAAAGTTAAAGAACTACGGAAGCAGTCTACCCATCTCTTCATTGCCAACTTGGCAATTGCCGATCTCCTCCTGTTGCTGATCGGAACTCCCACCATAGTGACCTCAATGATTCGAAATGAATGGCTCTTTGGTCAAGATATTTGTAACCTGGTTGCCATAGCGTTGAGCACCACGTCAACGGTGAGCCTCGTTCAGATCATGGTGATCGCCATCAACAGATACTGTGTAATCGTTGATGCCAAGATAGCTCCAAGAGTATTCAAAGGCTGGAAAAATGGTGCTATTATTCTTGGAATATGGACCTTTATGACATTCAGCCAGGTGATGCCTGCATTAGGTGTGTATGAGGATACGTTTTACACCTACAGTCCTCGTGTGTACCAATGTCTCCTCAGGTTGCCCCCAGGGAAACTGACTCATGTCTCCTACACTGTAATGGTGTTCTACTTCATGATCCAGCTTGCCATTCTCACCTGCTACTCCCTGATCACCGTGAAAGTCCGTAACAGCAGGAAGAGAATCCACACTCATTACAATTCAGGCAATCAGCAAACAGAAAATACTGTAAGCGGAGATGAAATCAAGCTTATTTCCCAGGTGTTCATTATCTATATCATGTTCAATGTGTGCTGGACGCCGTTTATTGTTATAGAATTTCTTGTTGTTCCACTGCAGATTTTGCCCAACCTGTGGCATCAAGTGACCATGATATTGCTTTATCTTAATTCTTTTGTGAATCCTTGTTTATATTTTATCTTCAGTAAGTCGTACCGTAAACATTTTAAGGCAATTATTACAACAAGTTGCAATGGAAGTTCTTAGGTATTGGGAACTTGCATTTTTTGGTTCATTAATAGTGCCCTTTAAATGCTCCTATTGTTGTTTAAAGGTTTTTTTAAATAGAAGTATTTTGTTTTGTGGATAAAACGTCTTGTGGGTAAATTTTTTGTTCTTACCTATCTACAAAATGTGTAAAGAGACAAGAAATCACACTTTTTNCGATTGGATAACTACTCCACACAATATATACATTTCAAGACTAATGCACTTGAGACTTCAGAATTCTTTTCTATTTTGCCAATTTAACTCACCAATTTATTATTATCATTATTTCAATATCTTCAAAGTCTTACTCTAGTTTCAAATAAAGAGAAATGCACCAATCAAATTGTTTTTAACATCATTTTCTATAGCCCCTTTATAAGCTGCAGAGAGAGACTCCACAGCTGACTACTGCCTTGAACCAGCTCCTGATCATCAGGGTTTTCTTTCTCCATATTTTCAAATTTTCAGCTTGATTTAAATATTGGCCAAATCATGTGGAATTACAGCAACACATAAGATAAATTTGAAAAAAAAATTTAATAAATAAATAAAACTGTGATAAAAATTGTGATTATAACAAATTTGATGAAGGTGACATAATACTGTTAAGCCAGTGGGAAAAACTGGCATAATTGTTGGAACCTTGACAAAGATAAACACAGACTTAAAATACCTTCAAGCAAGCCAGCTTGATGAGAAAATACTGCAGATGGTTTTCATATCTGGTCAGGACGCTAGTGTTAGACCTAGAACCTACAGAGCAGATGCTCTTCACATATCCCAGAGTGTCCTTATTGCACAGTATGGAGTCAAACAGCTGAAATGGGAAATATCAAAGGTCTAGCTGACTTTTTTAAGTTAAAATTAAAATTTAAAGTTAAAACATTAAAATGTTTGATATGGCAAAACAAAATAATGGGTATAGTGTGAAATAATAATTTTACATATATATATATAACATGATAATTGAAACTGACAAAAAAAACTTTCATCTACACGTGTAGAAGCAGTAACATGATAAACTGCTGTCTAATATCATATCACATTTGTTGAAATGAATGTGCTTAAGCAAATGTTGATGCAAACGCTCCCATATTTTGGAGAATACTGATTTTTTTATAATTTAAAAAGAGTTGTAACAGTACCTGTGAATTGAAACCTTTGTGAATCTTCCCCATGGACAATAAAAGTCTGGCCATAGCAGTCAGGAAACTGTATGGTGAATTATGGAGAAGAACAGGTGGCACTTGTCCTGATCTCAAAGTACACAGCAGGGAAGGCAAGTTTGATGGGGACTCCTTGGAATATGACTGGTCAACCCCTAACACAACAGAGTGCTTGCTGTAAGGGAGACAAGACTTTAAAAATTACACGCACACGCGCACACACACACACGCTCATGCATGGGTGTGAGCACACAAACACATATTCTGTAAGTATTCCCCTTGAAACATCTACTTCAGTCAACTATTCAAATATTATTTCAATCAACCACTATAATTTACCTTAATCTAGACAGTGCCATTTTGAAGGAATAAGATGCTAGGCAAGGTGTCAGCAGTGTGGACACTATGGCTTCAACATGTGGTAATGTCACCACTGGATCATACATGGGCTGAAATAATAGAAATATTGTTAGATGAGCAATTAAAATATACAATCTAAAAACTACAGCAAATAATGTCTTTGCGCCTATCACTAAATAATTTAACAATAACCAAATAAATATAATAAAAATCAGAAATTCATAAAATATTCAATTTGATATTTCAAATATTACAGCACAAGAACAAAGCCAGATGTCTCATGTTTTTCATTAATTTAAGTACAAACTGGTTCTGCTGGCATATTACAAAAAAA